GTTTTGGACATGTTTGTGTAGTATGACTGTGTGAAAAGGATGGTAATGCATTTGGGATTGGGTTTTAGGTCAGAGCGGGAATTCTGAAATTTGATATGGAAATCACTGTTGGTATGTAGTTTTGAGAAAAGCAGGTGAATTTGGCAATACGTACTATGATTGTTCGAAAAGTACTAAATTATACTATATTTGCCGTTGAGTGAATGGAAAGAGATTGAATCCTGAAATTTTTATATTGAGGTTTTGTTGGTATCTAGGACATTGTTTTATACCATAGGTCTCTTTAGGCCAAAACCGTTTCAGGACATTTGCAGTCGATCTAGCGATGTCTGTCCGTTTGTCTGGCTCGTTTGCACGATAACACTCAAAGAGAATATCCGATTTGATTCAAATTAGGCACATCGTATTATTATTGTCAAACATAGATCGAGCTCGGAGATGGACAATATCAGTCCACCCGTTTTTGTACCTTCCCCACAAAATGTCAAAGTTTTCGTAGAAAATAATTTACTTCATAGAACAAGAAATGATGATTAAATTTTGTTCAAATTTTGCAAATCCTAATATTTGTATCAGTGCTAGGTCGGGTGCAAAAAAATATCGGTCCACTCCATCCAGTACATCCCCCCAACAAAGGACCAGCATTTTTTAATAATAAACCCTTATAAAATGTGAAATTGTCCGCACATGCTAATTTTTCTACCAACACAAACTCTGGTGTGAGGAAGCGAATGTATCGGACCGCTCCTTCTAGTACCTCCCCTACAAGCGTACAAAAGCATTTTGGTGAGAATTTTCCAGAAAAAAAGTTTTTCGTGATGGAATTCAAGCGTGATAGTGTGATTTCTTTATATTTGGCTGGAAAACCACAAGTGGCTACCATTAGAGCATTCCAGCATTTAATTGTGAATAAATATTTTGAGTCTCGTGCCATCACTCGTTACCGTGATACTGGCAGCGTAGCCCGACGTCAAGGAAGTGAACGGAAGAAAACAGCAACATCAGCAAAAAGAAAAGAAGCGACTTGATCGAAACCTGCGTCGCAGTGGACGAAAAATGGTTCGTGAGCTGAACATATCGTAATATTCCATTCGGAAAATATTGAAAAATAAGCTCGGGGTAAAGCCATTGAAATTCCAAAAAGTGCAAGACTTACACCGCAACAGAAAGAAAATAGACTCAAAAGAGCTAAAGAGTTGCTTCGCTTCGTCGAAAGTGGTGAACTGCCGAATTTGGTTTTCTCCAATGATAAAACATTCGATGTCCAGCAGTTTATAAACAAACAAAATGATCGTGTTTACTTGCCAAAGAGGTCAGCGGAAAATTTGAACCTTCGGTTGGATACCAGAAATCAAGCGCCGGCCATGGTGATGGTGTAGCCCGCCATAACAGCCGATGGTCGCTCTCCGCTCGTATTAATCGAACGTGCCATCAGAATGCCGAATATTATCGCGAAAATATTCTGGAGGGTGTATTAAAGCCTTGGGCACGCAAACATTTTGGCCGGAGACCTTAGACATTCCAACAAGACTCAACAACTTAGCACTCAGCACGTGCCACACAAAATGAGGTTCTTCGCTTCATTTTCAGCGCACATGGCCACCATGGCCACCAAAATCTCCGGATACCAATCCGTTGAGTAATTGTCACTGGAGTATTTGAAAAAGCAAGGTTGGCACTAAAAAATACCAAAGTGTCGCTCACCTCAAGCAAGCGCTTCGCCGGGAATGGGCCAAGGTACCGCAGAGCAACATTCGGGCAGCGTGTGACGATTTCATTGGCCGTTTGAAGACCATAACTCGTGCCAAAGGCGACCAATTCGAACAAATTAAAACTTATTCTAAAATTTGATGCTATTTCCGACACTTTTTTGTTTCATTCAATAAAATTAAAAAACAAATTTGTAAAAATTATGGCGTTTGACTTTGTTGCAGTTTTTTTTTTATCTCACCCTCTATAGGCCACTCCTTTTTGTACCTCTCCCCCAAAACGTTAAAATTTTGAATAGTTATAACACTTATAAATAGTATGCGCATCTCAATACTTCTATAAAAATTAAAAAAAAAAAAAAGATAAATAGGTCAGTTGGCATAAAATTTAAGATAATTATTCGATGTTTCTTCTAACTTCGCATGTCCTGCTGGAAATTATAGTACCCATATTTTTTGATATTGTTTTAAAATATGTGGTGGAAATATTTCTTGTTCTTAGTTTCATATACAAATATAACAATTATAAATAAAATACGTGTGTGAGCTACGATTGTTTTGTAATACATAAGCTGTCTAGTTTATTATATTGTTTTAAAAACAAATTTCCAAAAAAATGTGCTGAAAAAGGCTTCTCAATTCTTTAAAGGGGATTTTCCAAATTCGCAACAATTTATTACAAACAAATGCATTATTCTGTGCCAGGTGCAACTTTGCATTGTTTTTATTGAAAACAAATGTTTAATGAAACAATTGCAGAAAAATTCGTTGCTTTATTCGAAATTCCTATAAATTCGAATGAAAACTACTTTCAATCATCAGTTCACAAATAATTTTGAACAGTGAAAGCATTTCCAAAATGAAATTCTACAACATTGCAATTATTGCTGCTACTTTACTTTTGGCCATTGCCTCTGCCAAGGCCAATCCTGAACCCAAGCCAGAAGCAAAACCCTTTTATCCTATCTTCATGGTGAGTATCAAATGCACGATAATTCCTCTTTATATAAACTAATTTTTTTATTTATTTATCTTTTGCAGGGCAAGTAAGGATTGTCATAAAGGATGAAAACATTGTAATTGAATAAAAATCGCTCGAATAAATGATTGAACCATAGATCAAGTGTTTTATTTGAATAACACAGTGACACCAAATGGGGGTAAAGATGTAAGAAGGCTATGTAAAGTATATTAAAAATCCCGAAAGATAGATTAGGTTCTCGTGGATGAACGATATTTCCATGTTGCTTAAAATATCCAAAAATGCGGAAAACTCAATAATAAAAGAGTTATAGCCAACATATGAAAATAAAAAATTCATGTTTAAAAAATGATGACTAAGTTTGAGGTAATGCATCGGTAGATCTTAATCCCTTCTGGAATAAAAGAATCGTTGATGATATCAAGGAACAAATTAATGAAGTTATAGTCAAAATAAGAAAATTAGAGGTTCACGTCGAAAAAAATGCGAAAATCTCAATAATAAAGGAGTTATAGCCATAGTAAGAAAATTTAATGTTCACATTGAAAAACAATTTGACAAAAGTGTAATTTCGGTCGGGCCGAACTTTGAATACCCCACCATTTCTAACGAATTTGGCAAATTTCAAATGAATAAAATCCGTTAAAACCCGAATTTAGCCGTAAGATTCGGGTCTATACGACGACGTGGACCTATGCAACTTTTGTCACAAGCCATTACAATATTCAAATGTGAAACTGGAAAAAATCGGTGAATAATGTAGCTAAAATCATCAATATACCGAGATCCAATATGTGGGGGCTATACCAAAACGTGGAACTGCACACACAATTTTCTGTCATAACCTGTAGTATCCATTACGAGCTTCAAATACCAAGTTTGAAAAAATACCGGTCATTATTCACCTAAAATCATCAAAATACCGAATATAGGGAGGTACTATTATAAGGGGGCTATAACAAAACGTGGACCTGCATACACAATTTTCTGTTATAGGCTGTAGTATCCATTACAAACTTCAAATACCAAATTAGAAACAATTCCGGTGAATTATTTCGCTAAAATCATCAAAATACCAAATATCGGGAGATAGCGTTATATGGGGTCTTTACGAAGACGTGGAACTGCACAGGCAATTTTCTCTCATAGGCTGTAGTATCCACTGCGAACTTCAAATACCAAATTAGAAACAATTCTGGAGAATAATATCGCTAAAATCCTCAAAATACCGAATATCGGAATGTACCATTATATGGGGGCTATACGAAGACGTGGACAACAATTTTCTGTCATAGACAATTGGACTCTTGCAGTCGCCATTGAAATTCCAAAAAGTTCAAGAACTTACACCGCAACAAAAGAGCTAAAGAGTTGCTTCGCTTGGCCAAATGTGGTGAACTGCCGAATTTGGTTTTCTCCGATAAAAAAAACATTCTTTGTCCAGCAGTTTGTAAACAAACAAAATGATCATGTTTACTTGCCAAAGAGGTCGGCTGAAAATGTGCACCGGCCATGGTGTGGGCCGCCATAACAGCCGATGGTCGCTCTTCGTTTGTATTAATCGACATAAGAATAAATGCCAAATATTATCGCGAAAATATTGTGGAGGGTACATCAAAGCCTTGGGCACGCAAATATTTTGGCCGCAGACCTTGGACATCCTAACAGGGTTCGTCGCACTCAGCACGGTCCATCACTCTCAGCACGCGCCACCCAAGAATGGTTAGAAAATAAGGTTCCTTGTTTCATTTCCAGCGCACTATGGCCCCAAAATCTCCGGATACCAATCCGTTGGACTATTGTGTCTGGAGTATTTTGGGAAGCAAGGTTGGCTCTAAAAAATACCAAAGTATCGATCACCTCAAGCAAGCGCTTGGCCGGGAATGGGCGAAAATACAGCAGAGCAACATTCGGGCAGCCTGTGACGGTTTCATTGGCCGTTTGAAGGCTATAATTCGTGCCAAAGGTGACCAATTCGAACAAATCTAAGCATAGTCTAAAATTTGATGCTATTTCCGACATTTTTTGCTTTCATTCAATAAAATTAAAAAAAAAGTAAATTATGGTGTTTGACTTGTTGCAGTTTTTTTATCTCACCCTGTATATACTTTGTAGGGTCTATTATCAATATTGCGAGGAGTTAAAACGGAATGATAAAGTTAATATACCTTCATAGAATGGTGGAGAATTGTGAAATTGCGAAAAAAAACAATAATAAAAGAGATATGACCAAAGTAAGAAAATAATGTTGAGCACCTTAAAAATCAGAGTATTTTCGAAAGAAAAGATATGTTTTTTAATTTCGAAAATGTAACTGCTTAATTTTATTTTTTTGAATCATAAAAAGCATTGATGAACTTTTTTTTAAAAATTTGGTAAAAATATTTATCTTCCCTTCACTGTTGCAGCAACATTCGCTGCCTGTTGAGCCACACCAATGGCCTGAATTGTGGCATCGCGGGTATGTTGACCAACTCGTTCCTATTTAAAGATAAAAAAGACATTTTTTCAAAAATTCTATATAAAAACATATTTTTAATGTAGAACTTACAATTTTCTTGCCAACTTTTTTCAGCCAACCTGCTTCACGTTGAGCCACAAAGACGGTCAAAACTAAAGCAATGAATACGAAAATTTTGAATTGCATATTGATGATTTATATTTAATTCGAAACAAATTGAATTTCAAAGATGAGCTTTTATGACTTGCTTTGGATGTAGACTGATATTAAATAAAGCCGAATCAATAGTTTATATACTTTTTCAATAAAGTACTCTGAATCATATCAACCACTAGCAATGAGTTTTATTGAGGTTGTCATCTGCTTGGATTTATTTAAAATTATAAAATAGATTAATTAAATGTGTGTGAGAGTACTTTCTGAAAAGGGTGAATTTTACAAATACGTAAAAATATTGTGGTTTTTACTGAACGTTTTTGGTATACGTTTATGTAGATAATTTGGTTAATTTAAAAATATTTTTAAGTACTATATCAGAGGATGTAGAATATTCTAGGAGACTGTCATACTCACATCAAAAAAATGTTAATTAATATTTTTGAAAGACTGTTAGAGCTGTAATCCTCAATTTTTTTAGGAGTAGAATATTTTTTTGAATGTCTACAAGAGTTATAATAACGATTTTTTTACAGAATATTTTTAGGGAACCCCGGATTTGGATTTTTCAAGAATATTTTTTTAAATCTAATAGACCTAACATTGTGGAATATTTGTGATATAATTGTGGATTTTTTTTTATCATTTTTAAGAATATTTTATCAAGGACTGGAAGACTCGTGGTTTTTTTTTAAGAATACTTCTTTAGGGACTACCAGAGCTATACTCGACGATATTTTTTCAGGAGCTATTAGAAATAAAAATGTTGATAGCTAACAATATTTCTTCAATGGCTTTTTGAAGAGAAACTTTGGACTTTTCAAGAACATTTCTTCAAGGGCACTCAGATCTATACAAGTGAATTCTGTGAGAATGTTTTAAGGGATCACCAGAGCTATTTTCATGGATATAAAGAGTATTTTTATACCCTCAGCCATATGGCTGGAGAGGGTATATATCATTTGATACGGCCAAAACGTGCCTCATCGAGTTAACCCTAGGTCTCTTTGGACCAAATCAGTTTCAGGACACTTGGAGTCGATCTAGCAATGTCTGTCCGACTGTCTATCTGGGTACATCGTAATATTATTGCCAAACTTGGATCGAGTTCGCAGATGGGCAATATCGGTCCACTCCTTCTGGTTCCTCTGCCGCAAAATGACAGCATTTTCAAAGAAAAATTTACTGCGCAGAAAGCGAAAGGATTATTCGATTTTGCTCCAACTTTGCTTATCCTAATATTTGCATCAGTGCTAGGTCAGGTGCGAAAATGGACAATATCGGTCCACTCCATCAAGTACCTCCTACACAAACTGTTAAAGTTTGGAATAATTATAACCCTTATAAAAGGAGATGTAGGAGTCCGATTGTCTTCAAATTATCCACATCACAATATTTTTTATCAATCCAACGTCGGTCCACTCCTTCGGGTACATCACCCTCCCAAAAAATGGGTAACATTTTTTAATATTAATGAAGCTCATAAAACACGAAATAAACATCCGATTCCATTCAGACTTGGCATATCTCAATATTTCTATTAATACAAGTTCTGATATAAAGATGGTAGAGATCGGACCCCGAAGGAATGGTCCGACCCCACCCACAAAGGGTTAAAATTTTGAATAACCAAAACGATCTTAAAAAGTCCGAAAACTGCCTCCGGTTTTCTTCAAATTACACATCACAATATTTTTAGTAGGCCAAGGTCTTGGATGAAGATGGGATATATCGGTCCAATCCTTCTGGTACCTCCCCTACAAGGTGTCAAAATTTTGAGTATCCGCGAAGCTCATAAAACTCGAAAATAAAGTCCGATTCCATTCAGACGATCCATCTCAATATTCCCGTCAACACAAGGTCTGTTATAAAGATGGTAGAGATCGCACCATTTCTTCTGCTACCTCCCCCACATACGGTTCAAGATTTTGCAAAGCAAACCGCTCAAAGAACGCGAAAGAAGCATCCAAATCCATCCATCCATCTCCTCAAATTAACCTTTTACAAACATTTTTGCTAACGCAAGATCTGTTTTAAAGTTGATATATATCTGCGAATCTCTCCTGTTACAAAGTGTCAAATTTTTCTCTCAACCAGAAACCTGGGATGAATAATGAATGTATGATTCCCCATAAAATTGGATATAAATGTTCGATTTCCTTCAAATTTTGCCTATGCCAATATTTGTATCTGTATTAGATGAAATATGAAAATGGAATACTTCGGTCCGCTATGTGTTATTTCACATTCCACATTTACCAAAAATTATCATATATCTCATATAAAGTGAGGGAAGTTGTCGATTTGGTCCAAATCTGGTACGTTGTAATATTTATACAAGTCATAGGTCAGATACGAATTGGTCAATATTGGCCAACTGCTTCAGAATCTCCCCCATAAAGGATCAGCCTTTTAAAAAATTATTACTCAAGGATGGGGGTATGCACCTGTTGGTAAAACCGACTATTTTAGTGTTTTCAAGGACTATCAGAACCATGCTCGTGAATTACCTAAGAATTTTGAAAAAATATGTTTTGATCATAGATTTTTAAGAATATTAGGAAATATATGAAAATATTTCTTGAATGGCTATCTGAGCTATAATCATGTTTTAAGGATATTCTATCAAGGGCAAGTATAAACATACTCGTAGATATTTTAAGAATATTTTCGAGGAAATATTAGAGGTACAATCGTGGATTTTTTAAACATGTTTTTGAGCAAAAAAAAAACAAAGATATTTATGGTTTCATATTTTTATTAAGAATTTTTGATAAAACCTATTGAAGCCATTTTTTTAAGATTCTTTTCAAGGACTGTCAAAGGTAATAACCCAGGATTTTTGTAATAATTTTCTTAAAGGTCCATAAGAATATTAGATGAACAATTAACATGGATTTAAAGAGTAATATTGAAGGACTACCAAAGATTTTTTGAAGAAGAAGACTTTTGAGCCCTCGCCGAAGTCCAAATCGTAAATTTCTTTAGAAAATGTATTGAAGGGCCACAATGAACAGCTTCTAAGAAAGGCAATAAAGGTTCACACATTCTAGTACATCCCAGACAAAAATTCAAAGTTAACAAGTAGGCAAAGGCTATGGTCGTGCGGGGCCGATTATGTTATACCCTACAACACTACAGTATGTTAGAAGCCCCCTTATGTCCAAATTCATATTGGAAGATTTCGCATTTATAATTAGGATTTTGACTAGGGACATTTGCCCAATATTTATGCACTCCATCGTGCTGTTAGTTGTTGTAGTCCATTTTACAGCTAAATATAATCTTGTCCTTAACTCTCTTCACAGGCGTGTCGATTGGCTTCAATTGTGTGATCGGAAAAGCATTTCTGTTTTTGGATAATTTGAACCTCTAAATATTTTACAATCATCTCCAAAAGCAAGAAGCCCCTCTGTATCTCCAAATTTAGACTGATCTATATGATTTGCTTGTCTACGATATTTGGCTATATTCGTCAACGAAATCAGCATAAAAAAGCCAGAAGTTCGCCTTTTGTGTATTTCGGATATCGTCTGTAAGTAATGCTGGTATTTTTTCACACAAAATTAGTGGTCCATTGCACCCGCTATCCTAAACTCTAACTTTATGCGAGATTTCATGTCCTCTGGTTCCTATTTGTGACCTTCATAACCGCTGCAAAATGAGCAAAATTTTTAGTTGTTGGTCCATTTCAACCCCTAATATATTGCGGACATCTTTGAAAACAATAGGCCTAGCCCTTCTGAACCCAACCCTATCCTTGTGAAAATTTTCGTGAGGATGGGACGATATTTGCAATCCTTATATAATAAATCCAACCTGTGTTGTAAGGTGAAAAAAGATTATAAGTCAAATTGAAAAAATCGCATGCGATAATAATTTATGAAAAAATAAAAAAATGTCACAAAATACTACAAAATCTGTATTAATATCCGATATATTTACTATCGGCATCTACGTAACGGTCAGAATTGACCTGTTCGTCTATTTGTGATTTCGCCGGGATTAAAAATATTCGCGGTTTAATAACAAATTTGACTTTTATTTAACACAAATGTTGTAGCCTATTTCACCCACTAAATATTACCCGATGACCATCAAAATTTGAAGGCTTCTGCACAGCCCTAAACTCTAGCCCCATGCTAACTTCCGCTTTGTTTGGTCTATAATTGCGACCTGTAGAGCAACTGTAAAATCAGGAATTTTTTCAGGTTTTGGTCCATTTCAACCCTTAAATATTATGCGATCATCTCCAAAAGAAATAGGGTTCTATTCTGACCCTAGCCCCACCTCCATTCTAAATTTCGTGAAGATCGGGCCATAATTGCGACCTGTAGAGTGATTACAAATACAGACGGACGGACATACATAGCTAGATCGACTCAGCTCGGCGAGATAGGAAGATCCATATATAGGTTTCTATGTGGGAAACCAATATTTCGAGGTGTTACATAATTTTTGTCCCAATCAAACTTATAATACCCCCAACACATAGTGTTGTAGGGTATAAATATTTATAGTACTATTTTTTTTTTTTTTGTAGCCTCAAAAGCCCCGATACCCAATACCAGAAATTACCAATTTCCCCATATACAAATAAATCTATCACCAAAATCAGTCAAACCAATCCAATGAGCAACAACAATATAAACCCCCAACTCAAAAACCACACATTGCAAAAAATACGTACATGACCATACCTAATTATATTTCCCCTTTATTTTTGTTCTTTTTTCAGCAAAAAGACATTGTTGTGAATCACGAAACGAAACTTTTAAGTTGCCTATAAAAACTAAGGCTCGCGTCGCTTCCGTCATCAGTGTCTATTGCACAAAGCCCTTAAAACAATTAGAAAATATCAATTTACATTTTTCAAAAGAAAAACACAACAACAAACAATGAAATTCAATACAATTTTTATTTTTGTTGCCCTAATTGTGGCTGCTTTCGTTGGCCAAAGTGAGGCTGGCTGGCTGAAGAAAGTCGGCAAGAAAATTGTAAGTTTTTAATTGGTGGAAAAAAGTAAATTCTTATTAAACAATATTTTTCTTCTAATTTAAGGAACGTGTTGGTCAACATACTCGTGATGCCACTATTCAAGGCCTTGGTGTCGCTCAACAGGCTGCAAATGTAGTTGCAACAGTCAAAGGAAAATAATCCCGCTAATTTAAATATTAAATTAATAAAGTAGATCCCAGTTCCAAGATGAATAATTAACTGTTGTACTGTCAACTCTTGTACTCTCTTTGTACATCCCCTGAAAAGATCAAACTTTTGAATAATAACTTTTATATAATGTCAAAATAATGCCTTATGTTTTAAAACTTCTCGCATTTAGAACTGATGTGAAATAGAGCAACATTCCCCAAAATAGACCAACATTGTTGAAAACCCTAACATAGGGTCTTAATGTTTTCAACAATGTTGACCTCTTTTGGGGGACCTATTTTGAAGATCGGACTCTCTTAAATCGAATTTTTTAAAAAAAATGGGAGTTTCAAGAAAATGTCATGGAAATTGTTCTAAATTCAAGAAAGATATATTAACATAATCTGCTCAAACTTGTGTATAGTCAATAATGCATTGGCGTTAGCGATAGTACATGCTAAATGTAGGAGAAAGTATAACTTTAAGAACACACCAACACATACCTGAAATATTCGACTGCAAAAATGCCATTATGGAGTGCTGCAAAAAAAGAATAGAAATTTGTATTCAAAGTGGTATTAATAAATGGTTACAACGTTTATACAGTAACTCCAAGCGAAACTCGTACAGCTAAAGCAAAAAAAAATATTTTTCTTATAACTTCCAAAAATCTAAATTTACAAAAAAACATGTAAAAAATTTTTCGCAAAAACTATGTTAAATGTTTTGCTATTCTTCCAACAATGGCGATTTTTCCATGGAGATAGCTCCATAAATTTTCTATCGGGTTTATGTCTGGACTCTGGGCTGGTGTATCCATGACGTGGGGACAAAATAAAAAAATGCAACAAAGTCAAACGCATTAATTTTTATTTTTTTTTTTTTAATTTTATTCAATGAGAGCAAACAATGTCGGATATGGCATCAAATTTTGAAATAAGTTTAGTTTTGTTCGAATTGGTCACCTTTGGGAGGAATTATAGCCTTCAAACGGCCAATGAAACCGTCACACGCTACCCGCTGTTGCTCTGCGGTATTTTGGCCCATTCCCGGCGAAGCGCTTGCTTAAAGTGATCGACACTTTGGTATATTTTAGAGCCAACCTTGCTTTCCAAAATACTCCAGACACAATAGTCCAACGGATTAGTATCCGGAGATTTTAGTGGCCATTGTGGGCTGAAAAGAAGCGAGGAACCTCATTTTGTAATCATTCTTGGGTGGCGCGTGATTGATGCTATGGTGCTGAGTCCTGTTGGAATGTCAAATGTCTGCGGCCAAAATATTTGAGTACCCAAGGCTTTAATACACCCTCCAGAATATTTTCGCAATAATAGCGGAGAGCGACCATCGGCTGTTATGGCGGCCCACACCATCACCATGGCCGACGCTTGAGTTCTGGTGGCCAACCGAAGGTGCATATTTTCAGTTGACCTCTTTGGCAAGTAAACACGATAATTTTGTTTGTTTACAAACTGCTGAAAAACGAATGTTTTCTCATCAGAGAAAACCAAATTCGGCTGTTCAACACTTTCGGCCAAGCGAAGGAACTCTTTAACACTTTTGAGTCTATTTTCTTTCTGTTCCGGTGTAAGTTCTTGCAATGGCTTTACTCTGAGCTCATTTCTCACGAACCATTTTTCGGCCACTGGGACGCGGGTTTCGATCAATTCGCTTCTTTATTTTTCGAACCATTTCTGCTAATGTTATTGTTTTCCACTTTCTTGACGTCGGGCTACGCTACCAGTATCACGGTAACGAGCGATGGTACGAGACACAAATGATTTATTCACATTTAAATGCTGGAGTGCTCTAACGATAGCCACTTGTGGTTTTCCAGCCAAATATAAAGAAATCACACTATCACGCTTGAATTCTATCACGAATAACTTTTTTCTTTGCTGGCGGATATTTCCATCGAGATAGCTCCATAAATTCTCTATGGGGTTTATGTCTGGACTATGGTTTGGTGTATCCATGACGTGGGGACAATTATAAAGCAGCCATGACCGCACTTTATAAGCCTTGTGTTTCAGATCATTGTCTTGATAAAAATTATAATATTCGCTAAAGCCGAGCTTTTCCTTATAGAATGGCAAAACTTCTTTCAAAACTTTCACAAGAAACCCACAATAAATGCAATACACCAGGTTCGGAGACTGAAAATGCACCCCACTCCATTACTGACCCGCGCTTCATAGTTTTTGCAAGGATCACTTCAGTTACCTTGCTCCATACATAAAGTCTGCCATCTGAACCAAAAAGGTTGAATTTGCTCTCGACCGTCAACAGCACATTCTTTGAAAATAAAAAATCTTTTGATATGTGCTCCTTGGCAAATCGCTATCTTACTTCTTGATTTCGCTTGCTGATTAGAGGTTTATGTCTAGCTCTTCTTCCTTGGTAATTCGAATTATGCAGTACATTTCTTATTGTTTGAGGGCAACATATTTTTCCCAAATCCTTTTCAGCAATTTTCACGAGTTTCGGTGCACTCAAAAATGAATCCTTTTTGATCCAAAATATACTTCACATCACTCAAGGTAAATATTTTATTATTTGTCGCTTTTGACTTATTTCCTACACATACATCTATTTTGAACCGTTTTATGATGTACTGAACTGTAGATCGGATTCTATTAACAATCTCAGATTTATGGAATTTGTAATGTTTATTTACTAAATATTTCAATTCAACAGTGGCCTTTCCTTTTTTTAGATTTTTAATATTTACGTCAGTAAGTTACACAACACGTGGAATTTTGTGATAAATTAGTTTTTAGGGAATTCCCCAAATACATTTTCCAACAATCGCAGGAAGTTGGACGCAGTTCGAAACAGGGTTGTCGTATATATGTAAGCTTTACGGCTTTAGCTTTTTCATAGGAATTTGGGGAGTTTTAGAATAAATGCCACTATTTTGTTATATAAATAAAAACAGTAAACTTTTGTTCTACGGCTAGTTCTACTATTAAAAAATACAGGTTTTTCTGGTAGTGAATTTGATAACAATCATATATTGCATGAAAGAAAATTGTTTGCTAAGTGTACGAGATTTGCTTTGAGCTACTGTAGCTCAATTATGTTTTCCCGAAAAGGGTTTAACCCTTTTTTAAAAGTTTTTCCGTTGAAATTGGCTATTTTTGAGGAAAATATTCAGTTTTTACTTGAAAGAGGCGCCTGAAAATGTCTCAAACTCCCTCGACCCACAAACATACTTTTTTACTTTTGTATTTTCCTTGATGGCTTTTCATTTATTAATATCCAAAAAATTTACAATTTTTTGCATTGAGTTTGTTTGTAAAAATAACTTATTCATCTACTTATGCTAACAGTTCTGTTTATAAAATAAAAAAATATTGATTTATTTCCCCTTCAATGTTGCAGCTACATTCGCTGCCTGCTGGGCAACGCCAATGGCTTGAATGGTAGCATCACGCGTGTGCTGGCCAACACGTTCCTATTAATTATAATAAACAAAAAGTTAGCAAAAAATTAATTTATTCACAACACATTATTATACTTACAATTTTTTTGCCAATCTTTTTTAACCATCCCGCTTCGCTGTGACTAACAAAGATAGCCAAAACAGCGGCAACCAAGAGAAAGATTTTGCTAAAGTTCATTTTGATATTCTTATGTACGTATCGAAAAGGAATTGTGGTTGTGTTTAAGCTTTACTTTGTTCGATGACAAACTGATGACGCACTCAACTGAAACCTTAGCTTTTATAGGCTACCGCATATTCGAAATGTGTTCTTAGTTTTTTTTGTGTAGAATAAGGAAATACAATATAATGCGGGGAATCACTTTGAGAGGAATCTACGGGAATGCGTATTTCCCCCCCAACAAAGAGTTTTTGTGATCAGTGACGTTGTTATTGTTGATGTTTGTGCAGCCTCCTTTTTTGTGTAAAACAATATAATTAACCTTGACAGTGATCTCTGCGTAGATGAGTTGTAATTGATGAGAGAAGATACTTTTAAAAGAGGGAATTCCCTCTACAAAGAAAACAATATTTCGATTTTTATAGATTTTTTTTTCTTCTTTGAGGCAACAGTTTTGTTATATTCACGTAAGATGAAAAAGATCAGTGAACTGCAGATAAGAAATTGAATTACATACCGACTTTGCAGTAAAAACAATAACAACAAGGTAAAAAGTACCTCTGTCGGCAAATCCGACCTCAGCCATTGTTCGATTATTGAAATATATTTTGAGTACAGTAATGATTATTTAAATTGTTGACCCTCTATGAAGTAGGTTCCGAGGGAATGGATCAATATTGTCCATATGACATCGGACATAAATAAATCTGAAATAATTATTGCGACACGTCAAGTTTGGGCAATATCAAGTACTTCCTTCACTTAATATGAGAAATGTGATAATTTAAAAAAAACGTAAAAAAGTTCGTGGGGTGCCAAATATAAAGGGTGAGATAAAAAAAACTGCAATTAAGTCGCTCGTTACCGTGATACTGGTAGCGTAGCCCGACGACAAGGAAGTGAACTGAAAAAAACAGCAACATCAGCAGAAATGGTTCGAAAAGTAAAGAAGCGACTTGATCGAGACCCGCGTCGCAGTGGCCGAAAAATGGCTCGCGTAATATTCCATTCGCAAATATTGAAAAATGAGCTCAGGGTAAAGCCAATGAAATTCCAAAAAAGTGCAAGAACTTACACCGCAACAGAAAGAAAATAGTCTCAAAAGAGCTAAAGAGTTGCTTCGCTTGGCCGAAAGTGGTGAACTGTTGAATTTGGTTTTCTCCGATGAGAAAACATTCGTTGTCCAGCAGTTTGTAACCAAACAAAATGATCGAGTTTACTTGCCAAAGAGGTCAGCTGAAAATGTGCACCTTTGGTTGGCCACCAGAACTCAAGCGCCGGCCATGGTGATGGTGTGGGCCGTCATAACAGCCGATGGTCGCTCTCCGTTCGTATTATGAATATTATCGCGAAAATACTCTGGAGAGTGTATTAAAGCTTTGGGCACGCAAACATTTTGGCCTCAGATTTTGGAAATTCCAACAGGACTCAGCACCATCGCACTCAGCACACGCCACCCAAGAATGGTTACAAAACGAGGTTCCTCGCTTCATTTCCAGCGCACAATGGCCACCAAAATCTAGGAATACCAATCCGTTGGACTATTATGTATGGGGTATTTTGGAAAGCAAGGTTGGCGCTAAAAAATACCAAAGTGTCGATCACCTCAAGCAAGCGCTTCGCTGGGAATTGACCAAAATACCGCAGAACAACATTCGGGCAACGTGTAACGGTTTGATTGGCCCTTTGAAGGCCATCAATCGTGCCAAAGGTGACCAATTCGAACAAATCTAAACTTATTCTAAAATTTGATGCCATTTCCGACACTTTTAGTTTTCATTCAATAAAATTAAGAAAAAAGTAAAAATGATCGCGTTTGACTTTGTTGCAGTTTTTTTATCTCACAGGAGTGGACCGTTATATTCCATCTAACAGCAGACATCGGTTTAATAAAAATATTGTGATGTGTGTAATTTGAAGACAATTGGACTCTTACATCACATTTTATAAGAATTATAATTATTCAAAATGTTTACCCTTTATGGGGGATGTACTTGAGTGGACCGATATTGTCTATTTTGCCACCTGCCAGCCAGAGGAACGGACGGACATCGCTAGATCGCTCCAAATGTCTTGAAACGGAGACCAAAGAGACCTAAGGTCTAAAACCGTTGTTTCGACCAGACACGTTTTGACCGTATCAAATTACATATACCCTCTTAAGCCATATGGCTGAGGATATAGTAAAAAATAAGTAAGCAAAGGCTATATACGTGCGGGGCCGGCCATGAGATACCAGGCGGACGGACACACATAGCTAGCTCGGCAAGATTCATAAATAAATTTGTGGGTCTATAACCAATATTTGAAAGTGTTACTAACCAAACCATACTATTATCATCAAAAAATTCTTCCTTGAGGTCACAAACCAAAAAATCCGTCCTTTAATACGTTCAGTATATTTGCCAATGTCTGACTTTTTCCCAGGTTGTGCCTAAAATATAACCTTTTTTCGCAGCAAGTAAAAAAACAGTGAATACCCTCCACCATTTGGAACGAATTAGAAAATTTTGAAAAAAAAAAAAAATAAAATCCATAAAATCCAATACGATATTGTGGACCTATACAGAGAATTTTCTGTCAGGGGGTAAAGTGCTCACAAAGAACCCCTCGTATAAAATTTCAGACAATTCCGTTGAAAAAAGTGGTTAAAATCATCAGAATGCCCACAATTCCGTTGAAAAATGTGGCTAAAATCATCAAAATACCGAATATTGGTGGATACCGTTATATGGGGGCTATACGATATCGTGGACCTATATAGAAAATTATCTTCCGAGGTATAAAGTACTCACAAGGACTCCTTGTGTGGAATTTCAGACAATTCCGTTGAAAAATGCGGGTGAAATCATCTAAATACTGAATATGGGGGGGTACCGTTATATGGGGGCTATACGATATCGTAGACCTATATAGGCAGTGCTCTCTCAGGGGGTAAAGTACTCACAAGGAACTTCTTGCGTGTATTTTCAGACCATTCCATTAGAAAATGTGGCTAAAATCATCAATATGCCGAATATCGGTGGGTACCGTTATATGGGAGCTATACGATATCGTGGACCGATATAGCTCGTCTTCGAACTTGACCTGCCTGCAGATAAAAGAGAGATCTGTGTAAAATTTTAGCTTCCTATCGTAATTCGTTTAGACTGTAGCGTGATTACAACAGACGGACGGACAGGGCTAAATCGTCTTAGAATTTTACACTGATCAAGAATATATATACTTTGTTGGGTCTAAAATGATTATTTCGGAATGACGAACTTATTATACCCTCCATACTATGTATGGTGGAGGGTATAAAAAACTCGATTGTTTTTTTTCACAAAACCTTGAAACATCCACTATTCATAGCCAGGAAGCCGTTGAGAGGTATTTCAAAAAAGAATAATAGAATAGAAATACTCTCTGAATAGAAATACTCTTCAAAATCCGGTAGGAGAGTAGCAAAAAATTCGGGATGGGAGGTACCAGAAATCGTTAACCTACATATCACGTTATCATATCTAATTTGAGAGTTTTTCAAAGACCTGACTTTTTGTGTGAGGGGTACCAGCAAGAATGGAGTAATACATTCTAGTTCAATCGGTCAACTTGTTTGAGTTTCATAACTATTCAAAATTTTAAACCTATTGAAGGATAGTAACCAGAAGCAGTTGACCGCCATTTTTATTTCATTGTTCACACAAGATGTAATATAGACAGAATTGGTTCTCATCTGACTTAAACGGGTACCCCTAAAGAATTCTTCAGATACTTCTTTTTTCTTTTTTTTGTTTTGAAAACGTTGAACTTTTGTGGGGGCATCATTAGAAGTAAACCAAATTCTTTATCTTCAAACTTGGTATAAGTAAATAAAATATTTAAAGCTGTACGCTAGATAATTTAAGTAGTTTCGAAATGGTCATTATAGACTAAGCTACCTTTCATTCATTTGATTACAAGTTTCCCGCATGTATGTAACATCGTATGTCCAATATTTGATCAATTTGCTAATTTCTAATTCATAATAAATGAACTATTTTTACACGGGCAACGGGAAAATAAACCAAGCTGAAAAAACAAAAATAGTTGGAATCAAAAGCATTATGAAAAAGTAATTTTTGCGGCAAAATGTGTGTTTGAATATACGTTGCGGAATCACCCACCAACAATTTCTCGAAAAGTAAATCCCCGCATTTAAGATCCCTTTTTTGCAAACAGAAAGAAACCACACATCTTGAAACAATGAATGATGGCTATAAAAGCCAAGATCATTTTCAAAATCTACATCAGTTTTTAGTCATGTTCTAAACAAGCAAAGCTTTCCGCAGTGTTTACAAACGACCACAACATGAATTTCAATAAATTATTCGTTTTCGTTGCCTTAGTCTTGGCTGTGTGTATTGGACAAAGTGAAGCTGGTTGGCTGAAAAAAATCGGCAAGAAAATTGTAAGTAACAATTGTTTTTGAAAACACTTAATTCGAATATTAATAATATTTTCTTATTGTTTTCATAGGAACGTGTTGGCCAACATACCCGTGATGCCACAATCCAAACTATTGGTGTGGCCCAACAAGCAGCTAATGTTGCCGCTACATTGAAGGGCAAATAATTGCAGATGTTATTAGTTTTAAGCAACTTAGCATTAAATAGTCGATTAATTTATTTATTTTAATAAAGTTCAAAATGAACAACTAAAAATTTCAAAAGCATTCTCTTTATAAAACGGGAAATTCAAGTTCTTAGCGGTCTACGTTTGGGATAACCCCATTTTAATGCAATGTCGCATTCTTTCATTAATATGGAAATCTAACATTAATATGGAAATCTAACATTAATATGGAAATCTTACTTCCACAACAAAATACGGAAATATTTCAAATTCAAACGTTTGATGACAGTGGCACATACATACTTTCATCATTACTACGACTTTTTCCGTTGTAATTCGAATCATTTTTCGAATTATTTTAGCTGTAATTAGAGAATTCCAATTCCAAATTAACATCGGATACCATTCAGACTTGGTTCATCTCAAGATTCAAGATTTTGAAAAACAAAAAGCTCAAGGAAAGCGAAAAAAAGCATTCAACTCTCTTCAAATTTCACACAGACAAAAATTTTTGTAAAAACATGATCTGTTGTGAAGATGATATATATCTGCGAACCCTTCTGGTACCTCACCCACAGAGGGCGACAATTTGCAATACTTTTATCTGTCATAACTTGCGAAACAATTCAGCGATTCGTTGCAACTTGCTATATATAAATATAGGGTGAGATAAAAAAAACTGCAACATTCATCATTTTTACATTTTTATACCCTCCACCATACTATGGGGGGTATGTTAATTTTGTCATTCCGTTTGTAACTCCTCGAAATACTCATGTCAGACCCAATATACCGTACTCCCCGATATTCGGTATTTTGACGATTTTAGCGACATTATTTACTGGGATTGTTTCAAATTTCGCATGTGAAGTTCGTAATGGATACTTCAGTCCATGCCAGAAAATTGTCTGTGCAGGTCCACGTCTTCGTATAGCCCCCATATAAAGGTACCCCCTATATTCGGTATTTTGATGATTTTAGCTACATTATAAACAGATTTTTCTTCAAGTTTCGCATTTAAATATTGTGATAACTTATGACAAAAGTTGCCTATGCAGGTCCACGTCGTCGTATAGGTATTCGGTATTTTTAATATTTTAACAGAATTTTTAACGGATTTAATTTTTTTTTTTTGGAAATTGCCAAATTTGTATAAGTTTAGATTTGTTCGAATGGATCACCTTTGGCACGAATTATGGCCTACAAATGGCCAATGAAACCCTCACACGCTGCCCGAATGTTGTTTGGCTCATTCCCGTCGAAGCGCTTGCTTGACGTGATTGGTATTTTTTAGTACGAGCACTGCTTTCCAAAATACTCCAGATACAATAGTCCATCGGATTGGTATCCAGAGATTTTGGTGGCCACTGTGCACTGGAAATGAAGCGAGGAACCTCATTTTATAACCATTCTTGGGTTGCGCGCGCTGAGTGTGATGGTGCTGAGTCCTACTGGAATGTCCAAGGTCTGGGGCCAAAATGTTTGCGTGCCCAAGGCTTTAATACACCCGATAGAATATTTTTGCGATCATATTCGGCATTTATTCTGATGACACGGTCGATTGATACGAGCGGAGAGCGACCATCGTTTGTTATGGCTGCCCTCACCATCATCATGGACGGCGCTTGAGTTCTGGTGGCCAACCGAAGGTGCACATTTTCGAATATTTTTCTTCTGGAAAATTCTCACCAGAATGCTTTTGTACGCTTGTAAACAATATAATTAGCAGTCACTGGAATAATTTTAACAGCTATCGGGTAAGTGGCTTAGAAATGGCAGCAGTCTGAAGTTGGTGGCAGTTTTTTAATCTCACCCTGTATATATGATAAATTAAAAGGCAAGCTGGATTTCTGTGTAAAATTCTAAACTGAGTTGTCCAATGTTTAGTAACAATTTTCAAGACTGAGAGAGTCTGGACTTATTATAAAAATTATTCAATATAAAATAGATGAATTATAATAAAAACACCTTTTATAGTCTGTTTTAATTTTTTTTATTTCAATAAATAACTTAAAAATAATAAATAAAAATAAAATCAGTTCTCTATTTTAACACTGTTATATTTTCCTTATTTTCCTTTCAAAGTTGCAGCCACATTTGCCGCTTGCTGGGCAACGCCAATGGCTTGAATAGTGGCATCGCGGGTATGTTGTCCGACACGTTCCTAATAGAAAAAATGAGAAATTATATGTATTGAAATTATAACTCCTAAATGATATTTAATTCACTTACAATTTTCTTGCCAATCTTTTTCAGCCATCCCGCTTCACTATGGCCAACAAAGACAGCCAATACCAAGGCAACAAAGACAAGCATCTTGTTGAAGTTCATGATGATGGTTTTTAATTTTGTGATTGTGAGTTGTGTTTAAGCTTTAGTTTGTTTTAAGTTTGATAGTAAACTGATGACGATCTCGTGAGCAAACTGAGCTTTTATATTCGACACAAACATATGATAAGCAATGGTAGTTGAACATTTTGTGTTGGATTCTTTTTTGTTTAATAAGGAAACACAAAGTGGGGGATTTACTCTAAAAGAAATTTCAGGGAATGCGTATTTTCCCACAGAGGCTTTCATGTTCAGTGACCTTTTTAATGTGTCTCATTTTGTGGCATTTGATGATTAGTTTTTAGATTTAAGATTAAACAGTGGATTTCCCTTAGTAAAATGATTTACTGTTTTTTTTTTTTCTTTTTAGGATTAGTAACAGGCTTACGTGAAAATAGAATAAGTAAAAAAGCTTAAAATGTTGGATTTTCACGCAAATTTATTCTCCAATCGACATTCCATGTAACTTCAAACCCCCTTCGAATATTGTTCTGATACAGAATAAATACTCAACCTAATAAAATGAGTTTTATTTAGGTCAAAACCCGGAATGTTAAATTGATTTTGAAAGTATAGTTCAAATTTGTTCCTTCAAAATTTAAAGTCGTATTTTTAATAAATCTTACTATACACTATAAACCTTCAGGAGTTATTTTTGTATAGTACAAAAAGGATAATTTCATAGTAAATTATTTAAAGCACATTCAAAAGATAATTTAATAAAAAATCCAACTTTTGCAAAAATATTTTTTTTTTATTTTGATTATGAAAATATTACTTTCCATCGTCGTTTAAGTACGAAATATACGTTACTTTTTTAAATAGTGCAAACGAAAACACTGAAGCTGAATAAACAAAAACAATCGTTATTATAGAACAATAAGTAATTTTTGCGGCAGAATTTTACCCCCACAAACTTGTGGAATCACCTACCATTTATCTTAAAGTAATTCCCCGCAATAACCATTCCTTTATGGCAAGCAAAAATCAACCACACATCTTGAAACAATGAACGATGGGTATAAAAGCTAAGTTCATTTTCAAAATCTACAACAGTTTGCAGCCACACACTAAAAAAGCTAAAGCTTCGATCTTTCATAATTTCTCCGGAGAAAACAATCACAAATTTATAAAAAACCGCGAAATGAATTTCAATAAATTATTTGTTTTCGTTGCCTTAGCCTTAGCTGTTTGCATTGGACAAAGTGAAGCTGGCTGGTTGAAAAAAATCGGCAAGAAAATTGTGAGTAACAGCATTTTTTTTTTTTTTAAAAAATTTTTGTAACATTAAATGGGTAGTAAATTACAAAATTAATATTTTTTAATTTATTTTATAGGAACGTGTTGGTCAACATACCCGCGATGCTACAATTCAAACTATTGGTGTGGCCCAGCAGGCAGCTAATGTTGCCGCCACATTAAAGGGTTAATATTCTCGAGTCTTATTATTACTATTAAATAAGTTAGCATTAAACATATAATTAAGTTATTTATACCAATAAAAAATAATGAATAAAAATTTCCTTTAGAAATTTAGTACAAAAAATTAAACGCTTTTTGTTTTATTTACACTGTGGGACAATTACAAAGCCTAGCCTAGACAACTGGAAATTCTGGATCATATACCGGTTAACATTGTGGATAACTCAAATATACAAGTATAGTACGAATATTGTAGTCTGACAACATCTATCCCTTTCTGAATTGTATTCTATTTATCCCATAGTATTAATCTAATTCGGTGTTTCCTATGCCCACATACATATGTAATAAAAGTGTTTAGAATTTTAACAAAATCATAACATGACTGCAAAGAATTATTACTCATTTGGGAATTATAAGAAAATGTATTGATTGGCATTTTCTTTTTTTCTCTATACAAAGACAGCCTAAATCTAATTAATAATCAAAGTAACTGGAAGTAATATAAGTGATTTTTTAATTTTCAAAGCTCCTACTTAAATTGTAGAGGTTTAAGGCAATATATTTACCCCATTCGCCTTTGACAGGTTGTGTAGAGCCATAAAAACTTGGTTGGAAATCTCTCGCTAATTTGGTAATTTTTGATTTTTCTTTTGATAGTCGCTTATTGATGTGAATTGAGTAGGTCACCGAGATCGGATTGAATACATGACAAGTTTTACTATGAAAAATATCGGAAAAATACATCTTATTTTTACTCTATAAAAAAAATATTGAAAAACAAAAAAAAATATACACCCCAGATAGAAATTGTTGAAATTATTTATTTTTCCAAAAAAAAAAAAACAATAACTTTAATGTAAATTATAACATTATAGAACTAAAACTGTATTTTATGTAGAACATTCGAATATATTATTGAGGTGAGAGACGTCAAACCTTTTATATTCTGTACCTTTAGATAAACTAAAGAGCTCCAAATTACATGCCATTCATTAGTGAGATAAAACTCCAAATACCAAATGTGATCAGTGTGGTCCATTTAACAATAATTTTAGCATTTGGGAATATCCCCTCCAAAAGGTCTAAACAAGTAAAAAACATTAAGTTCGGCCGGGCCAAACTTTTAATACCCTCCACCTTAGGGTAAAGGAAATGTTAGAGCCCATTATGACCGACAAATAAAAACTTTTAGACATATTCTTGGGAAAATGTGGCATAAATCATCAAAATACCGAATATAGGGAGGTACCGCTATATAGGGCTATACAAAAGCGTGGACCTAAACATACAATATTTCGCCAACGGAGCTAGAACTCATTATGACCAACAAATATCAATTTTTAGACAAATCCGTGAAAAAAGTGTGGCAAAAATAATCCAAATACCGAATATCGGAAGGTACCGTTATATAGGGCTATACAAAAGCGTGAACCTATACATACAATATTTCGCCAACGGAGCTAGAACTCATTATAACCAACAAATACCAATTTTTAGACAAATCCGTGAAAAAATGTGGCATAAATCATCAAAATACCATCCGAGACACAATACAAATTGCTCTGCTAAATTTTGGCGCTCTATGTCAAATAATGTGGGCTGTATCGTGATTTCAACAGACAGACGGACATCATTAAATAGACTTAGAATTTTATGCTGATTATGAATATATACTTTATGGGGTCTACGACGAATATTTAAGGATGTTACAAACGGAATGGCAAAGTTACTATACCCACCTTTCGAAGGTGGAGGATATAAAAAACAAATTACACCCACTTTTACTTAGAAATGACACAAAACACAAATTAATTGGTCATATGACATACGCCAAAATATGAATCAATATAAAAATGTTTTTCGTAATAGTTTAAATATGAGGCTATACCTAATTGCGAAGCTCCATTGAATTTTTTGCATGAAAGTATCCCATATATTCTGATTTTTTATAGACATAAACAGCGTTTTTTAAATAAAGCCAATAAGTACTGAATTTTCCAGGAAAGTCGTTTATAAGTCTTGGAGTAGTGAAACTCGCAGACAGAAATGTGACCTCGAGGAAAGGCTTTGAGTTTCATTTTTTTTTTTTTAATTTTTATAACGAATTAAAAAGCATGGAAACATTCCCAAAAACGGAGTACTGAATATTAAAAAATATAAGAGGATTATATTTAAAAACGTCTTTATGTTTTTTTCAATATTTTTCAATTTTAATAAATAATTTAAACATAATTTACATTATCTTATTCTATCAGTTCTCTTTTAAAAGTATGTAGGAGGTCTCTCATTTCCCCTTCAATGTTGCAGCTACATTTGCCGCTTGCTGGGCAACGCCAATGGCTTGAATAGTGGCATCACGGGTATGTTGTCCGACACGTTCCTAATAGAAAAAATTGAGAAATTGTTATGTATTGAATTTTTTGAACTATTAAATGATATTTAATTCACTTACAATTTTCTTGCCAATCTTTTTCAGCCATCCCGCTTCACTATGGCCAACAAAGACAGCCAATACCAAGGCAACAAAGACAAGCATTTTGTTGAAGTTCATGATGATGGTTTTTAATTTTGTGATTATGTGTTGTGTTTAAGCTTTAGTTTGTTTTAAGTTTGATAGCAAACTGATGACGATCTCGTGAGCAAACTGAGCTTTTATATTCGACACAAACGTATGATAAGCAATGGTAGTGACACATTTTGTATTGGATTCTTTTTTGTTTAATAAGGAAACACGAAGTGGGGGATTTACTCAAAAAGAAATTTCAGGGAATTTGTATTTTCCCACTGAAGCTTTCATGCTCAGTGACCTTTTTAATGTGTCTCTTTTTGTGGCATTTGATGATTAGTTTTTAGATTTAAGATTAAAAAGTGGATTTCCCTTAATAAAATGATTTCAAGTTAAACAGTTTTTTTTTTTCTTTTTAGGATTAGTAATAGGCTTACGTTAAAATAGAATAAGTAAAAGAGCTTAAAATTTTGGATTTTCACGCGAATTTTTTCTTCAATCTACATTCCATATAACTTCAAACCCCTTTCGAATATTGTTCTGATACAGAATAAATACTCAACCTAATAAAATGAGTTTTATTTAGGTCAAAAACCGGAATGTTAAATTGATTTTGAAAGTATAGTTCAAATTTGTTCCTTCAAAATTTAAAGTCGTATTTTTAATAAAATCTTTCTATACACTATAAACCTTCAGGAGTTATTTTTTGTATAGTACAAAAAGGATAATTTCATAGTAAATTATTTAAAGCACATTCAACAGATAATTTAATAAAAAATCCAACTTTTGCAAAAATTATTTTTTATTTTGATTATGAAAATATTACTTTCCATCGACGTGTAAATACGAAATATACGTTACTTTTTTAAATAGTGCAAACGAAAACACTGAAGAGCAAAAGCAAGCTGAATAAACAAAAACAATCGTTATTATAGAACAATAAGAAACTTTTGCGGCAGAATTTTACCCCCACAAACTTGTGGAATCACCTATCATTTGTCTTAAAGTAGTTCCCCGCAATAACCATTCCTTTATGGCAAGCAAAAATCAACTACACATCTTGAAACAATGAACGATGGGTATAAAAGCCAAGTTCATTTTCAAAATCTACATCAGTTTGTAGCTACACACAAAACTAGCAAAAGCTTTGGTCTTTCATAATTTCTCCAGAGGAAACAATCGCAAATTTATAAAGAACCGCAAAATGAATTTCAATAAATTATTTGTTTTCGTTGCCTTAGTCTTGGCTGTTTGCATTGGACAAAGTGAAGCTGGTTGGTTGAAAAAAATCGGCAAGAAAATTGTGAGTAACAGCTTTTTTTTTTTTGAAAAAAAAAAAATAATTTCTAACATTAAATGGGTAGTAAATTACAAAATTAATATTTTTTTAAATTTATTTTATAGGAACGTGTTGGTCAACATACCCGTGATGCTACAATTCAAACTATTGGTGTGGCCCAGCAGGCAGCTAATGTTGCCGCCACATTAAAGGGTTAATATTCTCGAGTCAATATCAATAAAAAATAATGAATAAAAAACTTCCTTTAGAAATTTAGTACAAAAAATTAAACGCTTTTTGTTTTAATTACACCACGAGACAATTACAAAACCATGGCCTAGACAACTGGAAATTCTGGGTCATATACCAGTTAACATTGTGAATAACTCAAATATACAAGTATAATACGAATCATGTAAACTTACAACTATATATCTCTCTCTGAATTGTATCCTATTTATCTCATAGTATCAACCTAAATAGGAATTTTCGATGCCCACATGAATTTAGAATTTTAAGAAAATCATAACATGCCTACGACGAAGTGGCACTCATAATTTATAATCAAAGTAACTGGAAATAATATAAGTGATTTTTCAAAATCCAAAGCTCCTACTTAAATTATAGAGGTTTAAGTCAATATATTTATCTCATTCGCCTTCGACAGGTTGTATAAAGAGCCATAAAAACAAAAAAATGATTATTTTTGTAATATTTGATTTTTCTTTGGATCGTCTCTTATTGATGTAAATTTAGTAAGTCACTGGTATAGGGTTGAATACATGACAAGTTTTACTATGAAAATACAGGGTGATATAAAAAAAACTGCAACAAAGTCAAACGACATAATTTTTACATTTTTTTAAATTTTATTGAATGAAAGCAAAAAATGTCGGAAATAGTATCACATATTAGAATAAGTTTAGATTTGTTCGAATTGGTCACCTTTTGCACGAATTATGGCCTTCAAACGGGCAATGAAACCGTAACACGCTGCCCGAATGTTGCTCTGCGGTATTTTGGCTCATTCTCGGCCAAGCGCTTGATTGAGGTGATCGACCCTTTCGTATTTTTAGTGCCAACCTTGCTTTCCAAAATACTCCAGACAAAACGGATTGGTATCCGGAGATTTTGATGGCCATTGTGCGTTGGAAATGAGCGAGGAACCTCATTTTGTAACCATTCTTGGGTGGCGCGTGCTTAGTGCGATGGTGCTGAGTCCTGTTGGAATATCCAAGGTCTACGGCCAAAATGTTTGCGTGTCCAAGGCTTTAATAAACCCTCCAGAATATTTTCGCGATAATATTCACCATTTATTCTGATGCCACGGTCGATTTATACCAGCGGTGAGCGACCATCACCATGGCCGGCACTTGAGTTCTTGTGGCCACCCGAAGGTGCACATTTTCAGCTGACCTCTTTGTTTACAAACTGCTGGACAACGAATGTTTTCTCATCATTGAAAACAAAATTCGCCAGTTCAGCACTACAATGCGGGTTTCAATCAAATCGCTTCTTTACGTTTCGAACCATTTTGACTGATGTTTCCGTTTTCTTCCGTCCACTTTCTTGACGTCGGGCTACGTTACCAGTATCACGGCAACGAGCGATGGTACGAGACACAAAAGATTTATTCACATTTAAATGCTGGAGTGCTCTAATGATAGCCACTTGTGGTTTCCCAGCTAAATATAAAGAAATCACACTATCACGCTTGAATTCCATCACGAAAAACTTTTTTTCTGGAAAATGTTCACCAAAATGTTTTTGTTCGCTTGTGAACAATATAATGAGCTGTCACTGGAATAAATTTAACCGCTGTCGGACGAGTGGCTTAGAAATGACAGCAGTCTGAAGTTGGTTGCAGTTTTTTCATCTCACCCTATATAAAATCGGTTTCAATCGAAAACTACATTATATGAGAAAACGAAAAAAGGTGTCAAACTTTTTATATTCTCTACGTTTAGGAATACTTAAGAGCTCCAAATACCAAATTTTATACAAATCGGTTTATGGGATATAATTCCAAATACCAAATGTAGTTAGTATGTGCCATATAACAATAATTTTAGCGTTACTTGGGGGATATTCCTAATACCAGGACCGAAACATGAATATATATAAAATATTTTTCGAAATACATTTAATGTGTGCCTATAGCGGACATTGTTGATATTTTTATTTGGAATTGTCCCCGTCTATCCTGAAACTTTAAAATTACCGAAAATCGGGAGTTATGACTAAGGAAAGGAAGGAAATGATATCGTTTCATTAGTTTTGGAGTTATCTTGGTCGCAGTCTTCATAAATGTGGATTCGGGCAAGTAAAAAGCAGTTAAGTTTGCCCCTACCGAACTTTCAATATCCTCCAGCATTTGGAAGGTAATTGAAATTTTTTGTTTTGCATAAGTTTTTTTTTTTTAAATACTAAATTTGAAACAATTCCTGTGAATAATGTCGCTAAAATTGTCTAAATAAAGAACAACCATTACGAAATTTGAGACAATTCCGTTAAAAAATGTCGCTAAAATCATCAAAATGCCGAATACTGGGAGGTTCCGTTATATAGGGACTGTACGAAAACATGGATTGACATAGCCCATTCACTTAACCTTCCAACTGGCAAAATATACATGTGTGCAAAAATGTAGCCTTCTATCTCAATTAGTCCTAAAGATAGCGTGATAACAACAGACAGACAGAGGATATAAAAAGGACCTTGAGCGATTAAAGTTAATCAGGTGGAGACATCGATATAATCTCTCTGATATGTGCAAACTCTTACTATAAAAATTACAGTTAAAAGCCTTTAATATTTTGTTTCATATATTTTTTATTACAATAAATAACTTAAAACTACTTTATATTATCCTATGTCATCAGTTCACTTTTGTATTTTTTTAGCAGGTTTCTCATTTCCCTTTCAATGTTGCAGCCACATTTGCTGCTTGCTGAGCAACTCCAATAGCTTGAATGGTTGCATCACGGGTATGTTGTCCAATGCGTTCCTATCCATCAAAATGTTAAAATAATTTTATTAAAATATTAAATCATGTTTTTAAGTGTACTTACAATTTTCTTGCCAATCTTTTTCAACCAACCCGCTTCGCTGTGGCCAACAAAGACAGCCAAAACCAAGGCAACAAAAACAAACAATTTGTTGAAGTTCATAATAATGATTTTTTATTTTGTGATTGTATGTTGGAGTAAGCTTTACTTTGTTCTAAGTTTGATGGCAAACTGATGCCGGTCGCAACAGCAACCTAAGCTTTTATAGACAACATTTTTAGCAAGCAGAATGACACATTTTGTACCGTACTCTTCAGTGTTGAAAAAGGAAATACAAAATTAGGGGAATTACTTTAAAGACATGTAAGAGAGCGTATTTCCCCACAAAGACTTTCATGTGGCTATTGGGTTTTATGATGTTTGAGCAGCCTCCCTTTCTTTAAGAAGGAATGGAGAAGTATATCGGATGATTAATCTAGACAATGATGTTTGTGTTAATGATAAAAGAAAAATGGAAATTCCGTTTTCACAATGTTACATTGTGCATTGACAAAAATAAACACCAAAATTAGGTATTAAGACCTCTGTAAAAATGAGAAACTATTTAGTTCTAATACATAAAAAAATAAATTTAACTAGTAAGGAAATGTCAAAAGTCGGGCGAGGCCGACTATATGATACCCTACACCACTATGCGTGTTTAGTAGAGCTTACGTAACAAAAAGATTATATTGGGATTTTATGTGAAGTAGATCATACCAACTCTGAACCCAATAACATTGATGTATAGTGCATGATATAACTTCGATAAGTATGATATTTAAAAATTTTTATTAGAGCAATAAATATATCGGACGAAGCTTCATGGTAAAATTCGGTTGAATATAAAACAAATAAAAAGGAGTAAGTTCCGCCGGGCCGAACTTTAAATAACCTCCACCATTTAGAACGAATTTGAAAGTTTCTGAAAACTATAACATTCGGCGAAAATTCTGTTGACATATTAAAAATATCGAATATAGCCGTTATATTAGGGCCTGTACGACGTGCACCTACATAGGCATTGTTTGTCACAAGCCATTACCATATTAAAATTCGAAACTTGAAATAAACGGTGAATAATGTAGCCAGAATCATTAAAATACCGTACATAGGGAGGTACCGTTATAGGGGCTATACGACGACCTGGACCTGCATAGACAATTTTCTGTCACAGGCTTAGCTTGCATTACGAACTTCAAATACGACATCGCAAATAATTTCGATGAGTATTGTACCTAAAATTGTCAAAATACCGAATATAAGGAGATACTGATATATGGAGATTATACGAAGACCTGCACCTGCATAGGGAAATTTCTATCACAGACTGTAGTTCCCATTACGAACCCTAAATACGTAATTTGAAACTATAACGGTGAATAATGACAGACGGACATCGCTAAATCGACTTAGAATTTTTAGGTGATCAAGAATATATATACTTTGTTGGGTCTGACATGAGTATTTCGAGGACTTACAAACGGAATGACAAAGTTAATATACCCTCCATAGTATGGTGGAGGGTATAAAAATTCTATTCAATTTGGGCTGATATTACATATGTGGTGGACAATAACCGTAAAATCGGATGAAGATGTACAGGGTGAGATGAAAAACTGCAACCAACTTCAGACTGCTGTCACTTCTAAACCACTCGTCCGACAGCTGTTAAAATTATTCCAGTGACAGCTTATTATTATGTTTACAAGCGTACAAAAGCAAAATTTTCCAGAAAAAAAGTTATTCGTGATGGAATTCAAGCGTGATAGTGTGGTTTCTTTATATTTGGCTGAAAAATAACAAGTGACTATCGTTAGAGCACTCCAGCATTTAAATGTGAATAAATCTTTTGTGTCTCGTACCATCGCTCGTTGCCGTGATACTGGTAGCGTAGCCCGACGTCAAGGAAGTGGACGAAAGAAACCAGCAACATCAGCAGAAATGGTTCGAAAAGTAAAGAAGCGACTTGATCGAAACCCGCGTGGCACCTTCGGTTGGCCACCAGAACTCAAGCGCGGGCCACGGTGATGCTGTGGTCCGCCATAACAGCCGATGGACCCTCTCCGCTCGTATTAATCGACCGTGGCATCAGAATAAATGCCGAATATTATTGCGAAAATATTCAGGAGGGTGTATTAAAGCCTTGGGCACGCAAATATTTTGGCCGCGGATCTTGGACATTCCAACAGGACTCAGCACCATCGCACTCAGCACGCGCCACCCAAGAATGGTTACAAAATGAGGTTCCTCGCTTCATTTCCAGTGCACAATGGCCACCAAAATCTCCGGATACCAATCCATTGGACTATTGTGTCTGGAGTATTTTGGAAAGCAAGGTTGGCACTAAAAAATACCAAAGTGTCCAAAATATCAAGTGGGCCAAAATACCGCAGTGACGGTTTTATTAGCCGTTTGAAGGCCATAATAATTCGTGCCAAAGGTGACCAATTCGAACAAATCTAAACATATTCTCAAATTTGATGCTATTTCCCACATTTTTTGCTTTCATTCAACAAAATTTAAAAAAATTTAAAAATTATGACTTGTGACTTTGTATTTTTTTATCTCACCCTGTATTCATATTAAATGTTTCATATTAAACATTCGTTATACCCGAGAAAATTAAACTACCAACTGAGAAACTACCCACGAATAAACCTTAAAATTACTGAAAATCAGAAGGTAACACCAAATGGGGACTTTGACAAAATGTGTGGAATACCGTAAATTAGGAGGTGCTACTATACGTAAACGTGTACAAATATTAAACATTTTCAATACAAAACATCATAAAAATGTTAAACTATATCTAGATTTCAAGAAAAACCTACCGTCACTTACTTACTTTATGGGGTCTAAGACGAATATTTCGAGATGTTGCAAATGGAAAAACAATCCATCTAATAAGCAGATCAAGAATATTATAGTGTTTTACATAAACATTTTTTAGAGGATTAGCCAAGATAACAAATCAATTTCAATAAATTATAGTTAAATAGTTAATTATCACAGTTAACCCGGAATTGGAAGTGTAAGTGCTCAATGTTTCCAATATTTTCCTATATTTTATTGCAAGCAAATCTTAAAAATGCCAAAAATGGCATATGTTAAAGCTCGATCCATCTGGCATTTTTTTTTTTTTGTGGTACATTTTTAATTTTCTGAAGCAAATATTTTTTTATTATTATTTATTCATTATAAAAAATATATTTGGCATATTCTTATAGTTAGTTTATACAAAATGCTTATTATTTTCCTTTCAATGTTGCTGCTACATTTGCTGCCTGCTGCGCCACACCGATGACTTGAATAGTAGCATCACGGGTATGTTGACCGACGCGTTCCTTCAAAAGAAAAATTAAATCATTTAATAAAATTTGTATGGGGAAATATTTTTTATACTTACAATTCTTTTTCCAAAATCTCTTAACCAGCCAGCTTCACTTTGTCCCAGGCATACAGCCAAAACCAATAAAACGACAGCAAACAACTTATTGAAATTCATTTTTTGTTAAATTGATTTTCCAAATTAGAATTTTGTTTATTAAATGTCTCTCTTTCAAGTGATAAAGAAACATATGCTATGAACTGCTTTTATACTCATCCGTAACAGGAATTATTGTTTTCTTTTGTGGTGAATAAATAATAAACAATTGGGGGATTAACTTTTTGTAAGATTTTAGGTGGTTTTTCATGTTGTGGTTAAAGGATTTAAACTGAAAAATAATTTTGACATTTTATTAAGACAAATTACGGATAAAGTATTGAATGAAAAAATGTACATGTGTCCGAAGTTGATTCTTGGTCAGAACACTGACCTCAAAATTTTGTTACTTTTAATTGAGGTACTCCAGCCTAACAAGAGTGTCTGTCATTTGGAAATTACCAAAATAATATTCCCCTATTGTGATTCACAATTTTATCACTAAAAATCAAAAAATACACTTTCTCTAAACAAACCATATGGTTAATTAATTCAGATGAAAATAAAGCTTTGTCGAAAGCTTGTTAATATCATCTAAAACTAATTCCATATAGTACATGTTGTTATTATCATTTTTAATGATCAAACCAAATTTTTAACAATTTTCAAATATGTGGAGGAACAATAACACTCTTAATTTAAACAAAAAATTGTACTAGAATCCTTAACATCATATATCGGAGATGAAATTACAAATCTTTCTTGAAATTACAAATAACTTGAAAATATCACGATTTTATAATCTTTAATATCAAAGTAAAGTAGACTTAGTGTGGTACCGAAATTAATTTTGGCCATGAGCGGATTTATTTCGCCTACATTTCCTTACATATAATATATGGCGGGTGGTACCTTATATAATAATGGTGATCTTGAATTTTTTGCATTCTTCGTATGAAGCATGACATTATAAATGTTATTGCATATCTTATTAAAATTACAAAACCAGAGACTAGATTCCCAACATACAAGCACAAGCCGATATGATCCATGGTATCAAAACGTAGAAATGTTTTACAACTTCTAAAATTTAAGGATGATTCAAAATATCATAAAATCCATTAAATATGATATTAAAGCGCCAGTTGAGATAAAAAAACTGCAACCAACTTCAGACTGCTGTCACTTCAAAGCCACTCGTCCGGCAGCTGTTAGAATTATCTCAGTGACAGCTCATTATAGTGTTTACAAGCGTACAAAAGCATTTTGGTGAGAACTTTCCAGAAAAAAGTTATTCGTGATGGAATTCAAGCGTGATTTGTTTATATTTGGCTGGAAAACCACAAGTGGCTATCGTTAGAGCACTTCAGCATTTAGATGTGAATAAATCTTTTGTGTCTCGTACCATCGCTCGTTGCCGTGATACTGGTAGCGTAGCCAGACGTCAAGGAAGTGGATGGTAGAAAATAACAACATCAGCAGAAATGGTTCGAAAAGTCAAGAAGCGACCCGCGTCGCAGAGGCCGAAAAATGGCTGGTGAGCTGAAAATATCGCAATATTCCATTGGGCAAATGTTGAAAAATGAGCTCGGGGTAAAGTCATTGAAATTCCAAAAAGTGCAAGAACATACACCGTAACAGAAAGAATATAAACTCAAAAGAGCTAAAGAGTTGCTTTGCTTGGTCGAAAGTGATGAACTGCCGAATTTGATTTTCTTCGACGAGAAAGCATTCGTTGTCCAAAATCTCCGTATACCAATCCGTTAGACTATTCTGTCTTGAGTAGCGCTTCGCCGGGAATGGAGCAAAATACCGCAGAGCAACATTAGAGCAGCGTATGGCGATTTCAACTCGTGCCAAAGATGACCGATTCGAACAAATCTAAAGTTATTCTAAAATTTCATGCTGTTTGCGACATGTTTTGATTTCATTCAATAAAATTTAAATTTTCAAGGACATTCCATCGCGAGCCTTTCTAAGAGATACATGTTTAAGGAATTCCTAGCTGAAATTGTTGGATTTTTTAACGACTTCATGAAATAGCAAACAAAAAAAAAACAAGTATGCATAGGTTATAGTCGTGCGGGCCGACCATGAGGTACCCTACAACACCACAATATGTTAGAAGCCCCCTTATGTCCAAATCCATTTTAGAAGATTTCGCTTTTGAAATTATGTCACGGAGCACTTGCCAGATATTACCCTTAACATAACCAGGGACATTTGCCCAATATTTACGCACTCCGTTGTGCTGTTAGTGGTTGTGGTCCCGTTTACAGCTAAATATAATCCAATTGACAACCAAAATGCTGGAATTCTTCCCTGTCCTTAACTCTCTTCTCAGGCGTGTCGATTGGCTTCAATTGTGTGATCAGGAATTTTTTTTATTTTGGTTCAAATATGATCGCAAAATATTTAGGGTTTAAAATGAACCAAAATAGAAAAAAAATTCCAAAACGTGATCAGTTTTTGCAAGGATGGTTTCTTCTCAAATTACCAAAATTTGCCAAGATTATTATGAAATATGTGGTTCAAATGTAAAATATACTTGAAATCAGGTTGTACCCTTATCGGAGGATTATGACCCATATCATGACCGGCAAAAACGATTTAAGTTATCTTGAACCGATTTCGATCAAATTTGGCATACTCATTTTCAGGTCCAATCTGATCGTACGTGCAGGAATTATTGTTTTCTTTTGTGGTGAATAAATAATAAACAATTGGGGGAATAACTTTTTGTAAGATTTTAGGTGATTTTTCATGTTGTGGATAAAGCGTTTAAACTGAAAAATAATTTTGACATTTTATTAAGACAAATTACGGATAAAATATTGAATGAAAAAATGTACATTTGTCCGAAGTTTATTCTTGGTCAGAACACTGACCTCAAACATTTGTTACTTTTAATTTAGGTACTCCTGCCTAACATGAGTGTCTGTCATTTGGAAATTACCAAAATAATATTCCCCTATTGTGATTTACAATTTTATCACTAAAAATCAAAAAATACACTTTCTCTAAACAAACCATATGGTTAATTAATTCAGATGAAAATAAAGCTTTGTCGAAAGCTTGTTAATATCATCTAAAACGAATTCCATATAGTACATGTTGTTATTATTATTTTTAATGATCAAACCGAATGTTTAACAATTTTTCAAATATGTGGAGGACCAAAAACACTCTTAATTTAAACTAAAAATTGTACTAGAATCCTTAACATCATATATCGGAGATGAAATTAGAAATCTTTAAAGATAACTTGAAAATATCACGATTTTATAATCTTTAATATCAAAGTAAAGTGTGGTATCGAAATTAATTTTGGCCATGAGCGGATTTATTTCGCCTACATTTCCTTACATATAATATATGGCGGGTGGTACCTTATGATGATCTTGAATTTTTTGCATTCTTCGTATGAAGCATGACATTATGAATGTTATTGCATATCTTATTAAAATTACAAATATTATTTGGACGTAAATTTTCAATAAATAGATTCCCAACATACAAGCACAAGCCGATATGATCCATGGTATCAAAACGTAGAAATGTTTTACAACTTCTAAAATTTGAGGATGATTCAAAATATCATAAAATCCATTAAATATGATATTAAAGCGCCAGTTGGCATATACAGGGTGAGATAAAAAAACTGCAACCAACTTCAGACTGCTGTTATTCAAAGCCACTCGTCCAACAGCTGTTAGAATTATCTCAGTGACAGTTCATTATAGTGTTTACAAGCGTACAAAAGCATTTTGGTGAGAAATTTCCAGAAAAAAGTTATTCGTGATGGAATTCAAGCGTGATTTATTTATATTTGGCTGGAAACCCACAAGTGGCTATCGTTAGAGCACTTCAGCATTTAGATGTGAATAAATCTTTTGTGTCTCGTACCATCGCTCGTTGCCGTGATACTTGGTAGCGTAGCCCGACGTCACGGAAGTGGATGGAAGAAAACAGCAACATCAGCAGAAATGGTTCAAAAAGTCAAGAAGCGACCCGCGTCGCAGAGGCCGAAAAATGGCTGGTGAGCTGAAAATATTCCATTCGGCAAATGTTGAAAAATGAGCTCGGGGTATAGTCATTGAAATTCCAAAAAATTCAAGAACATACACCGCAACAGAAAGAATATAGAGCTAAAAGAGCTAAAGAGTTGCTTCGCTTGAACTGCCGAATTTGATTTTCTCCGATGAGAAAGCATTCGTTGTCCAGCAAACTGCTGGAACGTGTCTACTTGCCAAAGAGGTCAGCTGAAAATATGCACCTTCGGTTGGCCACCTGAACTCAAGCGCCGGCCATGGTGATGGTGTAGGCCGCCATAACAGCCGATGGTCGCTCCCCGCTCGTATAAATCGAGCGTGGCTTAAGAATGAATGTCGAATATTATCGCGAAGTATTCTGGAGTGAGTATTAAAGCCTTGGGCACGCAAAAATTTTGGCCGCAGAAATTGGACATTCCAACAGGACTAAGCACCATCGCACTCAACACGCGTCACCCAAGAATGGTTACAAAATGAGGTTCCTCGCTTCATTTCCAGCGCACAATGGCTACCAAAATCTCCGTATACCAATCCGTTAGACTATTCTATCTGGAGTAGCGCTTCGGCGGGAATGGAGCAAAATACCGCAGAGCAACATTAGAGCAGCGTGTGTGGCGTGTCTAAAATTTGATGCTATTTGCGACATGTTTTGATTTCATTCAATAAATTTTCAAAGACATTCCATCCTAAAATCGCGAGCCTTTCTAAGAGATACATGTTTAAGGAATTCCTAGCTGAAATTGTTGGATTTTTTAACGACTTCATGAAATATCAAACAAAAAAAAAAACAAGTATGCATAGGTTATAGCCGTGCGGGCCGACCATGAGATACCCTACAACACCACAATATGTTAGAAGCCCACTTATGTCCAAATCCATTTTAGAAGATTTCGCTTTTGAAATTATGTCACGGAGCACTTGCCAGATATTACCCTTAACATAACCAGGGACATTTGCCCAATATTTACGCACACGTTTACAGCTAAATATAATCCAATTCACAACCAAAATGCTGGAATTCTTCCCTGTCCTTAACTCTCTTCTCAGGCGTGTCGATTGGCTTCAATTGTGGAATCAAGAATTTGTTTCTTTTTTGGTTCAAATATGTTCGCAAAATATTTAGGGTTTAAAATGAACCAAAATAGAAAAAATTTCCAAAACGTGATCAGTTTTTGCAAGGATGGTTTCTTCTCAAATTACCAAAATTTGCCAAGATTATTATGAAATATGTGGTTCAAATGTAAAAAATACTTGAAATCAGGTTGTACCCTTATCGGAGGATTATGACCCTTATCATGACCTGCAAAAACGATTTAAGTTATCTTGAACCGATTTCGATCAAATTTGGCATACTTATTTTCAGGTCCAATCTGATCGTACATGCAAAATTCCATACTATTCGGACTGATATTACACGTTTGGTGCACAATAAAAGGCAAATCGGACGAAGGTATATATGGGAGCTATATCTAAATTTTGACCGATTATCTCCAATTTCTATAGGGTTCGTCCTTGGGCCAAACAAATGATTTGTGCAAAATTTCATGTGGATAGGGCAATAAATGCGAACTGTACTTTGTTTACAAAAATACATGGACAGACGGACGGACGGACATGCATAAATCGACTCAGAATGTGATTCTACGCAGATCATCAAAAGGAACTACGGGTCTATCTCGTTTCCTTTGGCCTGTTATAAACAAATGCACAAAGACATAATACCCTGACCACCTTGTGGTGTAGGGTATAAAAATCGCATGCGAAAAAAAAAATAAAAAATATGAAAAACAAAAAATGTCACAAAATACTATAAAAGCTATAATAACATCATATTTATACTTTTATGCCATTGTACACATTGTATATATATTTTTATTATTAACCTTAACCTTTTCGTCTATTTGTGATTTCGGCGTTTAATGGAAAATTTGACTTTTATTTAACACAAATGTTATGGTCTGTTTCACCCACTAAATACTACCCTATGACCATCAAAATTGGAAGGCTTCTGCCCAGCCCTTTGTTCTCGCCCCATGCCATCTTCCGCGTCGATTGGTCTATAATTGCGACCTGTAGAGATACTGTAAAATCAGGTTTTAGGTCCATTTCAACCCCTCAATATTATTCGATCGTCTCCAAAAGCAATAGGGTTCTATTCTGACAATAATCCCACCTTCATTTTCAATTTCGTGAGGATCGCGACATAATTGCGACCTGTAGCGTGATCAAAAAGTAACATGGACAGACGAACGGACGGACATACATATCTAGATCGACTCAGTTTGTCTAGATGGGAATCTCCATATATACTTTCCTATGTGCGAAACCAATATTTCGAGGTGCTACACATAGTGATGTAAGGTATAAAAATGTTAAATGCTTAAAGAAATTTGTAGGGGAGGTCATATAGTTATCGGATGTTTTATACAATATTGATTTAAAACATTCATGAATAGTAATACTTATAAAATATTTTTTTAAAGGAATGACTTCAAAAAATAATATATATTTGTTATTTTCATATTTTCATATCGTTAAAACTATCCTATAGAAAAACTTCATTATTTTCCTTGTTAGGTGGCGGCAACATCGGCATCATAAGTACGCTGACCGACATGGCCCTTCAAAATTAAATTAAATAAAATCAAAAAATGCACAATTCTTTCACCAGCCAGACTCACGCTTTCCTAACAAAAAATTACAGGGGACGTACGTAGGCGCTTTTACCAATATTGATTCAGAACATTAATAAACAGGAAAACTTATAAAATACTTCTATTGTATTTCGAAAAGAAATGGCAACAATAAATAAAAAATATTTGTTTTATTTTTTACATTTATTTATTCAAAATAAATAACGCCTATCATATCCTTAAAATTATTTCATGCAAAACCTCCTTTATTTTCCTTTCAACGTTGCTGCCACATCTGTTGCCTGTTGCGCCACACCGATGGCCTGGATGGTGGCATCACGAGTATGTTGGCCGACACGTTCCTTTAAATAAGAAAAATTAAAAATATTAATTCAACAAAACTTGCATTGGAAAATATTTTATCTAAATATACTTACAATTCTCCTTCCGAAATCTTTCAACCAGCCAGCCTCACTTTGTCCCAGGCATACGGCCAAAACCAAAGCAACGAACAAATTATTGAAATTCATTTTTTATGATATTCACAATTTTTAATTGTTTTAATAAATGTAGGTGTTTTGCTTATTATATGTCTTTTTCCAAACTGATAATAACTCTGTGGCTTAACCATCTTTTAATAGACGACATCAACAACAAACATTTGTGATTAATATATTATAAGCTATGGGGAGAATTACTGTTGAAAATATTGTTTGGTGATTTTTAGATGTGTGGTTAATGTGTTTTATCAAATATTTGGTTTTAAATAATATTGAAATTAATAGTTGTCCATGTATAAAAATATTTGAGCAGCTTTTTAACAAATTCTAAATACATTTCCCGAAAACAGAACATGTGCCACAAATTACTTTTTTGGAAAATTGAACAGGTACCCCTTGGGGCCCTGAATGAGAAGGAAAAATATCCGAGTTATCGCTTCTTAAGTTTGGTTAGGGTCAGTTGTATTTTCAGTGCTTGTAAGACCAACCACGATAATAGGTATCAACATGTTTTCTAAATTTGATAATTTGTTCTTCATTGAAAGAAAGTATTTTTTGTCGGAAAGGACCCCGGTACCCTATTATTATACCCTTAGCCATATGGCTAGAGAGGGTATATATCATTCGATACGGCTAAAACGTGTTTCGTCATAATTACGGTTTTAGACCCTAGGTCTCTTTGGACCAAATCTGTTTCAGGACATATTAAGTCGATCTAGTGACGTCCCTCCGTCCGTCTGTTTATCTGTTTGTCTGCCGGCTGGTGCGCACGATAATTCTCGAAGGGAGCATCGGATTCGGTCTATACTTCGTACATTATTATCAAACTTAGATCGACTTCGGAGATGTTCATCGGTCCACCCCTTCTGGTACCTCCCCCACAATAGGTATCGACCTTCAAAAAAGATTTTACTGCACAGAATGGGAAACGATAATCCGATTTTTCTCCAACTTTGCATCAGTGCTAGGTCAGGTGCGGAAGTGGACAATATCTTCTCCATCAAGTACCTCCCCCACAAAGAATCACATTTTTGAATAATTATATCCATTATGAAATGTGATATAAGTGTCCGATTGTTTTCAAGTTTCACACATCCCAATAATTTTACTAACCTAAGGTCTGGTGTTAAGCCACAAAAAGAAATTTTGACACATCTGAATATTTCTGTCAACACAGGATCTGTTGTAAAAGCGAAAGAGATTGGACCATTTATCCTGGTATCTCCCAAAACACATATGGTTACATTTATTTAAATTCAACTCCATGCCATTCCAATCCAAAAGGCTATTCAAATCTCGTTACAGTCAGTCCCAGACTTATTTGAGGTTTATGAGCGTACATTAATAATTTAGAAAACTTAGTTGATTTTTGTGGATAATTTACAAACAATATAAATAGAACTGGCTTAAGATGACTTCCTTGTGGAACACCAGATGGAACATCGATAGATTTAGAATGAAAACTTTCAGACAAAACTATCTGTGACCTGTCGCGCAAATAGGATGAAATCCATAAAACAAGTGTCTATTAAATCATATACGTTCATGTTTAAATAATAGTAACCTATGATGAAATTGATCAAAAGGTTACAAATTATATCAGTTTGTAAGTTGAATAAGATTTTATCAGATAATTAGAATTTTTTCGAATATTTGTATTGGCCATGCAATGTTATTTCGAAATTAGAGATTTCATGGTCAACCACAACAATTATAGTTTTAATTTTTCTGAAAAAAAAACGTTCAAGAAAACAGCGTACATACCTTTTCAAATAGAAAGTCTTTCGCCTTTTTCATTATTCACACCAATAGAGTTCATTTGATATGTGGAAAATAACTCAATACACACAACAATATTTTCACATTTACAATCACTAAATATCGTGTTATTATTACGACGCGTATAAGAATCACTTTTATTATATATTTTCTTGAACTTATGATCAAATATTTAACAATTCAAAATTATTTTTTTACCAATTTGCTAAATTTGTAAATACTACCATTTAAATACAACTCTTAATAAAAGATGACTTTGTCCGTTGATTAACAGGGTTGTATCCAAACGCGTAAATACATTTGCTTGCCTAAATGGTGCCGTTATGCGTAAAACTACGGTGCGTATTGCAGATTGAATCAAAGATATAGAGTTTTGTTATGATGATGTGTTTTCCGTAATTTATTGTAAAATTTTTGTAAATTGTAACAGAATATAAAATATAACAGATTATAAAATATTAATGAGTATAGAATTGTAGATACACACTTGATAACATTTATAAATAACATTATCGTAGAAATGTGTATTTCATGATATATTTGACAAATATTTTAATAGATTTTACATTATAAAAGTCATGATAGAATCTGCATATGTGAATTCCTTGCACAATAATTTTTAAGTTATGGTAGAAGAATACTGGTAGATGAATCAACGCTTGAGAACATTGACATGTCAAAACGTTGAAAACGTTTTTTTTTTTTCAAATTTAGATGTAGATTTGTATATGTTTTCTTATATAACGTCAATCGGAGGTTATTATAATATGCGTTTTTCAAGAATTTTTTCAAATTTGAATAATTTTTCATTCAAAATTGATTTGACAGTTCATTGTCCCATTACCTGTGTCGATGCATCTACCGGTATTCTACCCTGGTTAAGGCATAGAAACCACTTACAGTTCGTTTACATATATGTAAATGTATTAACCTATTGGATTTGGATTAAAATTGCCATTTCCATTGCTTATACTTCAAATAAATCGTCTTGAAGTGGGTTAATCTTGCAAAAAGTTTTAACGTAAACATGTCATTAAATATTAGGGCACAGAAATCACCCATGGTAGAAGAATATAGGTAGATGCATCAACGCTTGAGAACATTGATATGTCAACATATTTAAAATGTTTTATCAAAAATAAGTATATTTTTAAATGTTTTCTTATACTCCGCGAATCGGTGGTTGTTATACTATAAATTTTTCAACAATTTTTACAAATTTCAATAATTTTTCATTCAACATTTTCAATTCCAAAATCGGTTTGACAGTTCATTGTCCCAGCAGCTGTGTCGATGCGAGTACCCGTATTCTTCTACCATAAAAATCACCTTGCAGGTTATGGAACAGAGAAAATTTTTAATATGTTTAAATAATGTTCAAGAATAAATTATTACGTTTAGGTACAAAAAATAACTTACTCATATTTGGATACTGTGAAAAATCCGTGACTTTCCATTTCTTTTAAATTAAAATATGATGAAAAAATTAACAAATAAATGCTTGTTTCAGCACCAACGGTTTAATGAAGACAAGGTAGGTCGTTTTTTATTTAAATAAAAATATTGAGAGAAAAGTGTCAAATGAAAAACTGTTGCATTTGTTATTGGTAAATTTGAAGTTACAAGACTCTATCTTCAGGGTTGTATTTTTCAAATTTAATTGTTGTCCCCTTGTAATTATTGTACCATGATACCAAGTCTTTTGTGACACTAATATTTTCCAGTGGTCTAGGATTTTGAATTGTAATATTCTTGTAATTTACAAGTGTGTCAGTCAAAAAAAGAAATCGTAATGGCCAATTACTAAAGATAGAAAAATATTTTAAATTGGAAATCTACCATGGATTACAGGGTGAAGTAAATTTTCTTGTTTCGTTATCAACGCTCTGACTGCAGATAATTTGTCATATTAAAGTTGTTTGCACAAATTTTCGATACGGCTTTTATTTGGTGAAAACAAAAATGTTATTGGCTTTTCCCCCTTCGCGAATTGAACGATTGAACACTTAAGGTGTAAGTACATAAAGCTGGGAATACATAAAGCGCTTATTTGACTGGCTTAAGTCATCGGCTGGCTTCTTCGTAGAGGAACAAAGGAGTTTTAGGTTGACTTAGTTCGATTTTGACCCTAGGCTCCTTTGTTTATTTCCGAAGAAGCCAGCCGATGACTAAAGTCAGCCAAATAAGCGCTTTATGTATTCCCAGCTTAAGAAGCTTGAAGCTTGGCTAGGCATATTTTGTGACATTTCATAAATACATAAAATCCTGCCGTCGTTTTCCGTTAGAATTTGTTATTAATATGCCTAGCCATGACTTCAAGATTTTTATGTACATGCACTTTTAGGATCATATTTTTGAGAGAACATCCAGGCATTTCATTCGCGCTACTTGACTCATTTCAAAAATGAACAAAACAATAAAATAAATGAAAACAACTTGTTGTATCTAGGCAGGTTATTACATCTTGCCGATAGATATAAAAGTGATATGTCGGACACACAGATCGTTTTTCATTTAAGTATGAACTGTCCGATAAGCAAAAAGTCAGACCATATTTCCTTTATCTTTTAAACGTAAAGTTTACTGAATTCATGCTGCCATATTTTATATTGATAATATAGTAATAACACCAACATTAATTAAAAAAAATGGATAACGCGAAGCTCTTATTTTGTATTGAAGAACTGAATTATCAATTTATTTCACGAAATTAATTACAAATTCCCTTATTGTTTATTATTTTTAAACTAAAAGGAGATGCGTACTCCTGCCATAAAAAACTAATGATTTGTCCCTTTACTTTGCAAAATGCCAAAGGAAAGTAAATGATAAAAGGAAAATGAGTAAAACACTGCTATCCTTTAAATTGCGCTGATATTTTGTGTAAAGATATGTTGTGTGGGAAATATCCATCTTTCCGGAGATAAAGTTTAATTAATTATAATTTAAAATATTGACAACCATTCTATTGCCTCTTAATTTAATAATTTTTACATACATGTTCAATTCTATATTAGTAATTTTCTTCATTTTTATTCCATTATTAAGACAAATCAACTAAACGCCTCAAAGTACGCTTTACTTTTGGTAATAACTACAATACCATTATAACGAGTAAAATACAACCCTTCGAACAACTGCAGCCAACTTTGGATCGTTGTTTGACACTTGCAACGAGTAAATTGAAGGAAATTACTGTTCAGTGGTTCTCTTTTACTTCCTTTTCTGTCAAAATAATTGACTAAGGTTGGTGTATTTTTTGATTGTCTCACAAATAAATACGAAAATATTTGAAAATATCATGAATGAAATGCAAAAATGTGAATAAAAATTAAAAACTAAACGAACAATACAGAAATGTGTGCACAATTGACGGAAATGCTTTGTGAAATTGCAGAGATGCTGTAAGATTGAAAGTGTAGTGCAAACAAGAAAATTAATAAAGCCGTCAAACGGCATAGACGAGACAAATATGTTGGAAATGGAAAATTCATAGTGAATGTTTGATGTGAAATTGTTGAAAATATGTTATCTGCTAAATTAACTTTTTGAATAAATTGTGGAAATCGGTAACTAATCGAAAAATGTTTGTTTTCATTATTTTCTTTGCCGCAGATGATTGGCTCCAAGATTATCAAGCCCGGTGGCGCTGAGCCCGATGATTTTGAGAAATCCATTGCCCAAGCTCTTGTTGAGCTCGAGGCCAACAGTGACCTCAAGCCCTACTTGAGAGACTTGCACATCACACGTGCCCGTGAAATTGAATTCGGCAACAAGAAGGTAAGAAATTGCATGTCCTTTTCGTTTGAATTTCCATTTATTTACATTCTACTTTGTTTATTTACACAGGCTGTCATCATCTATGTTCCCATTCCCCAACAAAAGATTTTCCAAAAGATCCAAATCATTTTGGTTCGTGAATTGGAGAAGAAATTCTCCGGCAAGCACGTCGTTGTCGTTGGCGAACGTAAAATTTTGCCCAAGCCCACCCGTAAGGCTAGAAATCCATTGAAGCAAAAGCGTCCACGTTCCCGCACTTTGACCGCTGTCTACGATGCCATCTTGGAAGATTTGGTCTTCCCAGCTGAAATCGTTGGCAAGCGTATCCGCGTCAAGTTGGATGGCTCCCAATTGATTAAGGTGCATTTGGACAAGAACCAACAAACCACCATTGAACACAAAGTAAGTAGTACACCAAAGGTGGATATCAAAATGCAAGTGGAAATTGGTGAAGTGACAAATGTAGAGGAATTTAGATAAAGTTGAATGGTATTGAAGTTTGAGTTTTTGTTTGTAATACACAAAATTAAATTTGTGTTTGAAGTGTTGACTGAGCATTACAATCGGTGTCGTGACCTCTAAAATCCTCAAACCATTAACGATGTAGTTACCAATTTAAATTGGTTTTTTATAATGGTTCTGAATAGCTTAATAGCTCAAATTTTCACAAATGTTTGTCCAACTACTCGCAGCGTTCTCATGATGGTCGTGTCCACCACCCTAGCAGTCTTGTAGTTAAATCAAGACAGCTCATTGTGAAATTTTTAGAAAATTTCACCAGCATATACCTAGCAAACCCAAGCAATTTAACTATTATTTAACCAGGAATTTCCAAAGGTGATCCAAGACTATGAGTTTCCTTCAAGTTCTGCAAATGTTATCTTTTGAATTAGGACATTGCCTTATTCTTCTCGATACAAAAGGTATAGCTCATCAACACGGATATATGTAAAACTTTTACAATTACTTTTCAATGTAAAGGCAAAGATAATGGCATATTTAAAATGATCTCTAAAAGTTGATAAAGAGTGATTCCAAAAGTTTATGGTAAATCATCTATATTTTGGACTTACCTTTTGATTCGTCAGAGAAACGGAACTTTATAATTGCCTGCTTTTGCTGCAATCATTCGACACCTACTAAGGGACGTCATCTGAAAGCAAAAAAGTGAACATTATTAAATTTGCAGGTACATAAAAGATTTGGACTGACAAAATCCTCCAATACCATCCATCCACTATTACATATCCAAATTCCTGTTTTCTATAGCTTTTTATTTTATTATCCTTATTGTATAATGTCCTTGTGTTATTTGCTGATTGTTATAAATCCAAGATCAGTGATTGTCAAAAAGGACAAATATTAAATACCAATGACTCGTTATTGTTTGAAATGGCCCCACAAAGGTCTTTAAGCATCTCCATACATTGGTGACATTTTATGGTACAAAAAGAAGAAAGGAATAAGAAACCACACTACTTCGTCCTTGTGTTAATTGCTGAATTATGACCACCAGTCACAGTGATCGTCAAAAAGGACACACATTAAAAACCAAACAATACTTTTTCTTTAAAATACAGCTTTGTAATTAAATTACAAGTTGCAAAAACGAAAAGAATTGTTACAATACTAGATTCCTCCGGTTTCTTATTCCTTTTGGATATAGCGTTCTTGTGTTATTTGTTGATTGTCTTTCCATCAAATCAATAATTGTCAAAAAGAACGCATATTAATTATAGGCAACAACTCGTTATTGTTTATACGAATTTTAAAAGTATCAGCATATTCCATTTGTTGTTTACAGTTGGCTTAAGAACTCAGTATCAATACAACAGAGGCCGTCTATTTGCCTCTCATACGTGATGTTTCAGCGTTATGAGATTTCCTACGAAACGGCAGATTAAACAAATTTTTAAATACATAAATATTTCCCTTGCTGTTATATACAAGGGAAATTTTAATTTTTAAATTTTACAATCTTATGGAATAATTTTTTCAATGTACACACTTGCCGTTTATTTGCCTCCCGTAGAAGTGGTTTAACAAAACTTTATGGGACTTCCTACAAAACGGTAGATTAAAGAATTTTTAAAATTTATTAATATTTTTATTGATTTATAACAATATGAATTTTAATTTTAAATATTTACAACGAAACGTTTATAATAATGATTTTATGGAGAAATTTATGAATATATATTAATTGTATTTTTATTTTCCTTTCTTTTTAGGTTGACACCTTCACCTCGGTCTACAAGAAACTTACCGGCCGTGATGTCACCTTCGAATTCCCCGACAACTATTTGACCATGTAAATTGTCAATAAATTATTTTTATAGTCCAAAAACTCCTGTTGTTACGTGTGTCACTTGTTTGTAAGAAAACAAAAATTGATGGGGCTAGACTACAGAAGGAAGCTAATGTTTTGTGAAGGAATTCTGAAATTCAGAAGCTCTTTCACAAACCTGAAAGAGACCACAAAATATTAAGAAATAAAAAAAAAACATTTTTACAAAAGAAAAGTTGTAAAACATAAATGCATTTTGGTTTTTATTTGCTGCTGATGTCTATAATATAAGAGTCTTCAAGGTACACCAATATCAAACTATACTAGGGTGTTTATGAGGAATATGAATTATTGCCAGGATTAATGATGTCGGAATACGATGAACTGAGTGTCTCTTTCATAACTATGCAACCTGTATTGTAAAAAGCGGCAATTTTATTTGCTGGGAATGAATGGGGTTACACGTTATTGCTGAAAGTAAGAAGAACTGAAAAACATTGTTATACCCTCCACCATACTATGGAGGGTATATTAACTTTGTCATTCCGTTTGTAACTCCTCGAAATACTCATGTCAATTCTTGATCAGCGTAAAATTCTAAATCGATCTAGCAATGTCCGTCTGTCTCCCTTTTGCAATGACGCTATCTTTCGAACGAGTTGAGATAGAAGACATGTTTATTTTGCAGGTTATGTTTATAAATGGGCCATGTAAGTTTTCATATAGTCCCCATATAACGGTACCTCCCGATATTCGGTATTTTGATGATTTTAGCGACATCATTCACCGGAATTGTTTCAAATTTGGTATCTGAAATTCGCAATGGATACGAAAGAAAATTTTCTGTGCAGGTCCACGTCTTCGTATAGCTTCCATATAGCGGTACATCCCGATATTCGGCATTTTGACGATTTTAGCAACATTATTCCACGGATTCGTTTCCAATTTCATATTGGGAGATCTCAATTTAACGACATTATTTACAGGAATTGTTTTAAATGTGGTATTTGAAGTTCGTAATGGACACTACAGCCTATTAAATGGTAGTTTCCGGAAGTTTTTTTGAAAATTTTTTAGTTCCTTCCAAATGGTGGAGGGTATTAAAAGTTCTGCCCGGCCAAACTTAGATTCTTTTTTACTTGATTTTATTTAATATGGATTGTATAAACAAATAATGAGTGTGTCTTAATGGAAGCTTTTGTTAGAAATATATAGTGCAATGCATTTAAGCTATATCATAGACACCCAAATGAAGCCTACATTTTAATTTTTTTTTTAATTCTTGGAATGTCCATATTGCCTTTCAATGATAGGCAAATGTATTTTTTTGGATATGTATAGGTCGCATTTTGAAAGAAAAACATTATTGTCCATCTGTATTGCCGTGTGCAATATAACTCTGGCAGGTGAGCAATGTAATTCGAAGGAACAAAAGTTCAAAAAGTTGCAAAACAAGGTGCCAATTCTAAACTTGGCACATCGTAATATTTGGATAATACTGGAATCAGATGCAAAAATTAACAAGATTAGTCCACACAAACAAAAATTAGAATAATAATAACACTTTGAACAACGAACATCCTAATAGTATATAATAAATGGAATATAAAGATAGGAGGCTTTGATTAGGTATGAAAATGGACAAGATCGGCAAAGTCCTTCCTCCCCCACAAACGTACAAAATACTAAAAATTTACCGATTTACTCTCTGAGTTTGTCTTGTTAAAGCGAAGATCATCTATATATATATAAAGTTTATGACTGACTGTGATTCAACGCCCAGAGGAAACGGGTAAAGCTTAAATCTTACAATTTTGAACGATTGTCAGTCTCGGTGCATAGGCGTATGATACAGATGAGTTTTTGGAAATTAGATCATAGAAATAAAAGGGCTCGAATAGTACTAAAAATGTAATATGTATATTTTGCACAAACAGAATCTCCTAGAATTCTGATGCAGTGTACGATAGATGTATAAAAGGGTTTTTGGAAATGCTTTAAGGTTACGAAAAGTTCTTAAAAGTTGCTAAACTTCTAAAATGTTAAAATTTGGATGAAGTTAAAAATATTCAATTCGGTATGGGAATCAAAGTTGGAAAGTAAATTTGAGAATGGTTTAAAAATTTGTACTAAGTGTACGAAATGTGGTAAACGATACTAAATTCGGAACAGTTTGGTTTAGGGTGAACGGATGAAGCTGGATTTTTGAAATTTTGTATTGGGGTCCCTGTTGGTGGTAGGTTTGCGATAGAGGCGGTTTTGGAACTACATTGTGTATTGGATCAACTGATAGAGCTTGAATCTTGAAAATTTGTTATTGAGGTCTCTTTTGGTATCTGAGTTTGAGATATGGAGATGGCTTAGAAAATGTGTACTAGAGGTATAATAGGCCAATTTTCCTTAAAACTGAGAAAGGAGTGGCCGTTAGGTTATTGGGCTATTTTTTTCACAAAATTTGAAGAAGAAAATATTGCCAACATTTGGTTTTAACAGGACGAAGCTACGTGCCACAGTCGAAGCTGCACTCGATTTTCAAAAAATATTTGGCGGACTTTCGTCCTTAAAGTTTTTAAAATATGTAATTTTAAAAAGCCGAGCTACCAAGTGTATACTACTACGAATATTTCAAACACTATTAAAACCGAAAATACCATGGCCTATATAAGGAGGGATAGTAAGCCCACATGGCAACTCAGTTTGCTTTCAAAAACATAATTGTGATTTGAAATTCGAATATAGTCCAATCACAATAGTGCAAAAACTACTGAGTTTATTGTCAAAAGTACTCTTCTTGGCCTTTGTGGGCCCTTCAAACACACTATATATTCTGGATGAGTTCGTGTCAAAATTTCAAATTATTGGTTTTTGATTTATTATTATTTTAGGATATATAAAACCATGGTAAATAAAAAGGTAAGGTAGAGCTACCAGTTGATTGCATTTTTTTTTTCCAAGTGTGCCCGACTTCTGCCAATTTTGTGTATGTATTTATTGTTTTGAAAAATGAAAACAAAATATTTTCAAAACCAATGATTGGAAGACACGTACATTGCGGCTCGCGCATTAAAACTATAAATTTAGCCATAAAATTGAGAGAATGAAGTCTAAATTATTTTAAAAATGAAAAAAAAAAAAAAAAATATGAAAAAACTGAAAACAACTTGTTGTATATAATATTGAATGAGTCTGACAGGAAGCTGGCATAGCCTCAGGGCTGTATTTCTCTTGTTTTACTAAGCTGTCCTATCTCCTTATTGTACCATGGGTCACCCTTTATAGGGCCTTCGAACACACTATATATTCTGAATGAGTTCGTGTCAAAAAAATTTCAAATTATTGATTTTTGATTACTATTGATTTATTATTATTTTAGGATATGTAAAACCTTTCTCAAATATTTACTATTTTCAATTCTATAATTATTTCGCTCTTATGTAAATATCCATTAACGATTTCCCATTTCAGCCAACATGTCTAATATGTATATCTGAAAAGAAATTGGAATGCGATTTAATGTCCGAAAGTTCTACAAATAACATTTATATGTAATCCATTACGTATGTGATTCTGAACATTGACGTTGGGTCTCGGTCCCGGTACCGGTCTTGGTCTTGGTCTCGGTCTCGGACACGCTTTCGGTCTCGGACACGCTCTCGGCCTCGGGGGTTTCTTTGGTAATGCTGTCGCTTGATCGCACCACAATGTCAAGATGATAACAAAAATAAAAACAATTTGAGAAACCTTTAAGAGTTTCATGTTGATTCTTTGGCGTTTTAATATATACTGAAAGTTTTGATTAGCTGTTAATCATGGATTGTAGGAACAACATACATACATAGCTACATATGATGATCAATGATACATATTTACTAAATGATAACATTGTATTAAAAAAAAAACAAATTATAAAACACAAGAAATATATTTTATTATCTCATCTGGTGGATTGTACCAACATAGAATTGACTGTTTCATAGAATTGGATATTCCAATTGTACGATATATTATGGGTCTGTTAAAGAAATGCTATTGTTCGACAAAAAAATGTTGGCTGGCCTATGAAATGGAAAAAAGGAAGGACATTCAAAAATCAACGTAGGAAGTATTAAGGCATGAAGAAGGAGGAAGCACTCCTTTCCATGTCAAAAGCCGGCTCATATTTTTCTCTTATATCTAAACATTCTTAATAATAAACTAAATAAAAATCAAATAAATTAAAAAACAAACGATTGTTGATAAAAAACAAAGTTCCAAGCATACGAAATTTTTTAGAATTTTAAATCAACTATGGAAAATTTTCAAAATTTTGAATCAAATAAAGCGACACCGCCCCTCAACCGCTTGTCTAATTTTATGTTTCTTTCTTTCGATCTTTAAAACATTTGATTTTTTGTTTTGTGTTAAATTGATTAATTTTGAAGATATGTCATAACGCTCCACTTCTCTTGGAAAATCCAACAAATTCAAAATATTCAATAAAAATAATCTCGTATGAAGCTTATGTATTGCCAATTTGAAATTCGTAATATTTATTTTAGACTAGAATTCGGTGTGCAAATCGATAGTATCGGTCGGGTGGTACTCTTATCTGAACGATTTCCCATTTCAGCCAATATGTATATCTGAAAAGACATTGGAATGCGATTTAATGTCCGAAAGTCCTACAAATAACATTTATATATAATCCATTACTTATGTGTGTATTAACATTGACGTTGGGTCTCGATTTTGGTTTTGATTTCGTTTTCGGTTTTTTCTTTGGTAATGCTGTCGCTTGATCGCACCACAATGCCAAGATGATGACAAATATAAAAACAATCTGAGAAACCTTTAAGAGTATCATGTTGATTCTTTGGCGTTTTAATGTATACTGAAAGTTTTGATTAGCTGGTTAATCATGGATTGCAGGAGGAACATACATACATACCTACGCATCTTTCAATGTATTTCCCCTCAAAGAGACTCGAAACCACTACAGATGATTAATGATATTTACTAAATGATAATATTATATTGAAAAAAAAAAAAAAAACAAATTATAAAACACAAAAATATATTTTATTATCTCATCTGGTGGATTGTATCTATATAGAATTGAGGATTTCATAGAATTGGATATTACATTTTTTCATATATATATATTTTATAGGTCTAGAAATGCCTTTGTTCGAAAAAATTTTGGCTAGCCTATGACATGGAAAGGAGGAAGATCATTCAAAAATCAACTTGGAAGTCTGAAGGAATGAAGACGGAGGAATTTATATCAATTATATATCAATCAATTATAGATATTTGTAAAATGTTCGATCTTTAAAACTTTTGATTTTTTTGGTGTTAAATTGATTGATTTTGAAGATAGGTCATAACGCTCCAATTGGAATATAAAAGAAAGTACTACGCTTATAACTCAAGACTCGCTGGTCTGATTTTAACGATTCAGACAAATTCGGAATTGTCTCTTTGCGGAAAAGAATAAAATCCAAAAAAAAAAAAAAAAAAATCATAAAAATGTGAAATTTGAAAATTTTTATTTTGACTTTTGAAATGTCGTGAACATTTTTTCATGGGAATCGAATCTCAAAATAATAGTACATTCTGTTGACAAACTTCGTAAGGACCTTTAAACATTTGCTCTGAAAAATCAGAGAACGAGTTGAATATTTTTTAATTTATTCTTCCTTTTTTTGTCAATTTAATATAATGTACGATGTTTTTTTTCAATTTGGCTTATTATATTGAATTCAATCTTTTTGAACAAAATAAAGAATTATTTTCACCATGGGGTAAGTGAGCCTAAGTTCGGCATGTCCCAGTAGTCGGCACTTTTTATTTTTAAGCCCAAATAAATGAAGCTATTGTAACTAAATGTATTTTGCTTACTTCAAATATATTGTCAGCTATCTTTGTGTACAATTTCGCTAAGGAAAGATGATTTATTCTAATAAAAATTAAATTTTTGTCTGTGAAGGTCCTCAACAATCCATATTCTAAAGAAAAGTACAATAAAGACGTCGATATTAGTTTAACTAAACAAAAATATTATATTTTAATGAATTAATTTATTATTATTAATTATTCTTACAAAAAAATTGGTATGCCGACTGTTGGAAAATGCGATACCGACAATTGGCAAGTGGTGCCGACTACTGGAAAAAAAGCATTGTTTTAATAAAACTACAAATTAATGAAATTTAATAATAAGTTATTAAAAATTGTTTTATTATTGCAAAAAGTATACAAAATTTCGAATCTGAATAAATTAAATTTGTAATTATTTAAATGTTTCACTCAGAATGGTGAGCGATTAAAAACGCGAAAATCCTAAAAGTGCCGACTACTGGTACACTTACCCTATAAAGGAAAGTTATGTTAGTTACTATGCTTATAACACAAGAACGGCTTGACGGATTTTAAAAATTCATACATTTTCGGAATGGAAAAAATAGCGTGAAAATATACCAATAAAAATGTGAATGAAAAAATCTTTTTGACGTGTTTTTTTTTTCAATTTGAAATACCATATTGATATAGTGTAAATTTTTTATTGTTTTGAATTCTGGATGAAATATATTAAAAACAAGTTAAAAATTATCAGTCGGTTTTGCCGACAGACATATTTTATTAGTTAAATATATTTTGACTTCTGTTATGTCTTTTTAAATTATTGACCCTCTATGAAGTGGGTTCTTAGAGAATGGGCCAATATTGAGTTCGTTATGGGGCTCATTTCAAAACATGGATCTACTTCATTCATATGACAATAATCCGTCCAATAAGAACTCAAAATGCAAAGTTCATTGGGACTGCTATCAGTGAAATACCGAATAAAAATAGGAGAGCAAATTGGGTATTTAGTATGAAAAGAATTTATATCCTTCCAGAAATTCTTCCTAAATTTCCAAGATACCTTAAATCGCTTTTGTAGGTCACGATATAGGTCATAACAAACGAATAATTTTAAAATTTAACCATATTTTAAAATTAATTCCGGAAAATGTTGGCAATTTGAGAAGAAACCATCCTTGCAAAAAATGATCACGTTTGGAATAATCATCATCATCAAAGCTATTTTCGGGGTCTTTGCCAATTCTTTCATTTATTTATTGACTGTTATTTGGTATCTTTGTTTCTAAGGGGATAGTAAACCCCTTCTCATAAAATTTTCAATTTTCGGAGTAGGGTCCACCGTGGTCTTGACACATTGTTGTTTGTTTAACCGTCATTGAATTATACTATGATAAAAAGTATGGACTTTATGGCGTCTCCAACGCATAATTAAAATTACAAAAATTCCATTCTTACAGTAATTGTATTTGACAATCGCACAGCACGTTACCTTAAAAATTCCAAATTACAGCTAATTTGAATCGAAAATGTTGCTAAGCACTTTACAATGCTATTATAGATGTTCTATATCATATAGGTTTTTAATACTCAAAGTAAAGCCTATGGCTGAAAAATAAGATCAGGCTATTCAAAATGTCTAACACGGACTGTAGATGAACATCTATTATAATTTTTCCCACGAATATTTATTTCCATTTAGGAATTACTATGGGGTCATTACGTGTTATTAAAATTGTGCCGCTTACGTAAGTCAGATCTGTGATTTATTGTGCTTCAATAAAATTCAATAAAAATAATTTTGAACTTCAAATACCAAAGTTGAAACAATTCCTGTGAATAATGTCGCAAAAATCATCAAAATACCGAATATCGGGAGGTACCGTTATATGGAGGCTATATGAAAACGTGGACCTACATGGCCCATTTACAAACTTAACCTACTGGAAAAATAAACACGTGTGCAAAATTTTAGCCTTCTATCTCAATTTGTTCGAAAGATAGCGTGATTACAACAGACATACATGGCTAAATCGACTTATAATTTTACGCTGATCAAAAATACGTATATTTTGTTGGGTCTGACATGAGTATTTCGAGGAGTTACAAGCGGAATGATAAAGGTCATATACCCTCCATAGTATGGTGGAGGGTATAAAAATGTTATTGAAAACTTACTTTTCTCTTTCATTGATAGGCTAAGTAGTTTCCGAACCGCCCTCGTACTAAACGGTATTATAGCTATTACAATTTGAATGGAGTTGTAATCCTGAAATCTTAAATTAACATTGTACATAGATAGATGTACATAGATGGTAGAAAGTATTTTTGAATTTTTTTTAGTGAAATTAAATTAAATATTGTCTTAATGATAATAGTAGTTAATAAACCCATATATTTATAAAATTCATTTAGATAAGGTTTAGAGTTTCCATGTATTCTGAGACCAATTATAGAATTTAATGACAAGTTGCAGGATAATCAAAGACGGCTGTATGTATGTGAGCATTTCCTCTTTCTATCAGTCATACCTACTACAAATGTAGATGGCGCCACAACAATGACAATTTTTATTGTAGTTAGGTTACAACCCCAATATGCGTTGCCAATCGTATATTAAATATTTGTTAGACAAATACAAAGACATAAAACTGTAAAGGCTGGACAAAATGCATATGGGCTTTAATATACCCTCCATACTATGGTGGAGGGTATAAAAAGGTAGTGTTTAATTTCGGAAGTCATTATTTTCATTTCCTTCATATCTGCATTTGGTCCAACTTTTGAGCTTGAAAACATTTTTATTTTCGCGTTGGAAAGCAACTCCAATGCCTAGATATAAAAAGAAGAAATATTTAAAAATTAATAAAAAAAAAAATCCGAGACTTCTTCCTGTAGTATTGAAAACAGCTTCTCCAAACATTTCCCAGAAGGCGCTTTTTATATCATCCACCTTTTAAATTCTAAAAATACTTTAAATAGACAGGACGGTATATTTGTACTCATGTTTTGATCAGATTAAATGGTATTTGGTACAAGATATTACATATTTTCCCAATATATGCAATTTAAGTAGGCTGGCCAAAGTCTGAATGAGCGAAACTGTTGTGCCGCCCTCTGAAGGGAAAATAAAATAAGACTTCTCCAGCCCCATCTATTGAAGAAAAGTAACAATGTAATGTCCCATCAAAGACATATAATATAATAAGATGGGACCAAAGACATATAATATAATAAGATGGGACCAAAGACATATAATATAATAAGATGGGACCAAAGACATAAAACTATAAAGATTGGACAAAATGCATACGGACTTTAATTTTTCGATCAGGTAATAGAGGGCAGGCGACTTAACAGAAATGCATTGGAAATTTTAGAAAAATATATTATTCCGATATCGCCGAAAAATGGCGGAAATACGCGGAAAAAATTATCAGCTATGATAGACATGCTCTCAAAAATCTATTCCAGAGCATTTCCTTGTATATTGTATAGATAAAAATCAGCAACAACCCTTAAAAAGTGTCAGCTCTGTTAAATTATAACATAATGCTATGTCACGATATCGTGACATAACATATTTTTCCATTACAAACGCCATCTATTGAAGAAAAGTGAAAATGTAATGTCACATCTTATTATATTATATGTCTTTGATGGGACATTACATTGTTACTTTTCTGCAACAGATGGCGTTGGTAATGGAAAAATATGTTATGCCACGATATCGTGACATAGCATTATGTTATATTTTAACAGAGCTGACACTTTTAAGGGTTGTTGTTGATTTTTATCGACTCAATGAACAAGGAAATGCCCTGGAATAGATTTTTGAGAGCATGTCTATCATACTTGATATTTATTTCCGCGTATTTCCGCCATTTTTCGGCGATATAGGAATAACATATTTTTCTAAAATTTCCAATGCATTTCTGTTATGTCGCCTGCCATCTATTACCTGGTACAAAAATTAAAGTCCATATGCATTTTGTCCAATCTTTATAGTTTTATGTCTTTGGTCCCATCATCTTTGATTCGAATTAGTATATGCTAATGTATTGAACACAGGGAGTGTCAGATATTTTAATAAAAATT